ATACGCGTTTCATAAATGAAAATGTACGTTCACATACAACTGATGACACGGGTATTGTTATAGCAATTGAGTATAATTTATATATTTCTGAAAATGAACTTGCGAAGACCATCTTGTTAGGCATAGGCGTTTTAATTCTACAGGTTTTTTAGTATTAAATACCTTTTTTTGTAATTTAATAAATTTTGAATGAACTACAGAACTACAAAAATAAAAAAAAAACATATAATTCTTGTAACAGAGTAATGAATAAATTAGCTTCTTCTATAATTTTTACTGCATCAACTATTACTAGATTTAGTCTATGGTTTACACAGTGAGTATATATTACTTGAGGGACTTCATTTTTAAAAACAGATTGTACACCATTAATGCGGCCCCTCCTAATGCTTATTTCATCGTATGTTTTTGCCACATAATTGTTGATATCAATTTGGAATTTACTTAAAACTTGTTTTATATGCAAAAATAGAGAATGAGCATTTTAAATTTTTAACAGGTGTAAAACCTATAAATCACTCTTTTATTTCACCTTGAAAAAAATATCTCACTACAATCAAAAGCTACTCTGTCTTAGATACATCTTTCGTTTCATCATCCATGACAGCAAAATAAACTAATTTTTTTATTTCTTTGCAAATTTTAAATAAAATCATGGTGGACATAATATGAACAATTTAATTTTGTATTGAACGAAATAAATATCTTACATTTTTGGGTCCATTCATTTTTGTTTTAACTATATCATCAAAATTACGAATAACACTCATTGCCTCAATAAAATGGCATCTATCAAAACTGTGTATCGGAAAGGAAACCTCTCATCCTTTTTGTTCGACCGACTCCACAGTTTTCGGATATTTGTTTAGTTCATGTTGAGTAAGGTTTGACTTATAATTTATATTATTAGGACCAGGGACTTGTCGAAAACTATCTGGTATTGTTAAATATTTCTCAGCAACTTCATGTTCATTATAATAATGTATTAATACAATTACTTTGTAGTAAAGTAAACACAAAATTATAATGGATTATGGAAAAGTATATAATGTCAATAACGAATTATACCTATAAAATAATTGAACACATTCAAGATACACGGTATAGGTATTTAATAAATAATAGATGGGTAATTTCAAATACCTGGTTATAGGATTAGGAACTATCGAACTGGAGCATTTCGGTTCCTTGTGTTCAGACTCATCTTCGCTAATAATATTAATATAACTTTTTTGTTATTTTGATTTCACGAAAAAAACAATTATGTTATTTGTATTTCTCTTTGATATATTTTTTTAAAATAAAATTACATAAACAGTTATATAATGGATTACACAAGTAAAAAAAAAATTATATAGGTAGGTAGATATATCTATAATGCGTCAATACTGAATGCACTACTGTCAGCTTCACAGAGCACACTTCACAAGTGAATAATATTAATTAATATAACATGATTACAAATTACGTCGCGACGGATGCTAATTTTGAAAATAATTGTTAATGAGCGTAATCTAGCACGGTATTACCGTCCCATTGATATCTATTTATGGATACACGGAGGATTTACCCATATAGCCAAATGTGCGTATATTATGTATATTATACCTATCTATACATCTGAATAATATAATCACAAAACATACTAATGCGATGAACTGTTATTGCAGATTCGTAGCCTCGTAGGTAAGTAATCGAATGCCAAATAACGTATACGAACAACAGATAAATTATAAACACGAGTAGGAGTGTTATTCATTCTAGGAGGAGTATTATCAATAATTATCATATAGTATAATATAGAAGTAATATTGCGGATTTACATACAGCGAACAAAATACAAATATCATTATTTTCTACTTATGAAAAACGAGTATATTATTATTGTGTCCAAGGTCAGGCCAGTGGTAGGGCCATGGCCTTACTTGGCCCGTCCCTGGAAAAGGGTCTTCGTTGCACTCGATTATTCAAGGACTATTTGATATAATAAAGACAATATTATAGTAGAACATCACGGAATTGTAAATATAATTTGAACTATGAATTGATGTCACGTAGTTTAGACATTACATTCGTTATCGTTGTATTATTTGATATAACATTCGAACACTATTTTCGTGTTCACTGCGGTACACCCGCGTGTACTACGAAATCCCAAATGTGCGTTACGAAAAATTAAAAATGTACACCCGCCACCTGCGTTTTCATAACAGATGAGCCACGAGGTTCCGAAGACGTTGGAAAAACCTTTTCTTTTTTTTTTCTCAATGTACATCTATTTACGGTGTAATACAGCCAATAGGAGGATACTCATTATTCCGGAAAATACGTATTTATTTTTTTTCCGAAACAACTTTTAAAACGAATAGCTCTAAAATGTTACATTACTAGATCACGGTTATTTTTAGGGACGAGCCCGGTACCCACTATTGATTTTTAAATAGCAGACCGTGTTAAAAATTCCATAAATAGACGACGTTTTGGTTGGAAATACATTCTGGTGTTGAAATTCGTTATTCTCGTCCGCACCCTGTGCACACGTCAAATTCACGCATTATATGCGTCTGCACGCACCACGGGTGGTCTGAAAAAATGGCCGCTGGAGTACACCGGACCAGAGTATATGATGGCGGCGAGCGCGGACCACGGCCAAAACGAAGTGCGGTAAAACGGTGCGTACCCGGAGTGTGGGGCATGCCAGTCCGGAGGTCTCGGATTCGCGCGGTCCTTCCGTGAAAATGGAATATCAAGCAACGATTCCGCCGACCGGTTAGACAAAACACAAATGTAAAAATTGACAGATACTCGCACGCGTAATACCGCGGGAGACTGTACAAGCCGAATTGACGACCGGCGCGGGTGAACCGGGAGGCCCGCGTTAATAGAGAACGCGTAAAACCTCGGCCGTGAATGATGACACGGTACGCCACCCGGGCCGGCTCTGCCGGGACCGGGCTGGTCCGGCGCGCTACTGCGACACGTTACGCAGTAACAGTCCGGTTAACAGTAATGCCGAATGGACGAGTAACTTGGTGCACGGCTACGTAGACGGCCTGTTGGACTTATTTGTTATCATAAATACTCACACGTGTAACGGCGGTCGACGACACGGAGAACACGTTGCCACGGGCCTACTCGCCTCTCGGCGGTGCACGGCAAAACCGATTTTCCAATCGCAGCGCGTCCCGGAAACCTGACGCCGCGACGGCACAGTCGTAAATGCACAGACGCGAACCGTTGAATTTTCCGAAACGGTTGTTATGCCGACTGTACGTTTTCGAAATTAGCGTTCCGAAAATGAGCGCGAGTATAAGCGATACGCGTGTCCGGTTACCGACGTTCACGAACTTTTTGCGCACTCGCACGATCGAATCGCACAAAACAAAACGAAAAAACAAACAAACAAAAACCGACAGGACGTATTGCGTGCACTGGCGACGGACGATTATTACGCGTTGCGATTATAAATGCGGGGGAATTGAGTACCCGAATGACTACCGTTCCGTACATATTTCGTTTTCGTGGCCGAAAAAAAAAAAAACCCCATAGAGCACTATTTCGCTTTTCTCTACCACGGTTACCGGTATACCGAGATCAAGGTGGGACGCGGTTATTGACCGGGGTAAATAGTATTGTGGCGAAACTGTTTGTACATTTTCGAGCGGCGGTCGGTTCAACGGTTTCGAACGTTTGATAACAGAGAAATTCAGTGTGTCCGTTTAGTAAAACCGGTTGTGACCCGTTTTACTAAGCGCAAACCCTGACGAAAGCTTTGTCGCATGACACATACGCAACACATTTCTGGGAAATCAAGAACTGGAATTCGATGAGGTCGCCTGGTACTCTGGTTGGTCTCGTGCGCGGTCGAGTTGAATTAAAATCTGTTTTCAGGACTTTGATCGCATCACTACCGCGTCGATCTGGCCGATGGACGAATGTTTGGTCTAAATTGCAACGCCGCGTAACTTTAACGTTCCTTAATTCATCCGTGACGACACCGACAGCGTTTTTATACGGTTTTATTGTCCACCTTGTACACAAGTCGGTTGACAAGAAGTGGTGAAAAGTATGCGTGTTTGTCAACAATGATGCCACCGCAAATACCACCGCAGTAGGATATTAAGGAACATAAACATTGTGTTAGATATAGAAAGACAAGGGAATAATCCCCGTTCCATTTGGAACGCCCTCGAGAATATTAAAATTTGCAATATAATCGACAATCATTTATATTACAAAATTCTGATAGGTAAAACCTACAAATAGCCAGACAAACAGCTTACAAGAATTGATGTTTTATAACTTTTACATTTGATCGATTGATTCCGTTCTACTGTGATGGGTATACGAACTAGGTATCTGCTCACTTAGGGATAATATAGGTTAACATTTTGAAATTATTGTTATTTTATTACACTATTCATTCGTTTTAACAAAAAGTGTACACTTTTTTGTAATGAATTTATGTACACTATATAGTGTAGATTCGACATCCACACATTTGATAGTGCGAATATGTGAGTAATGTATTCCTTATCAAAAATGCAATTAAGTGGTAAAAAGTATAAATTCTATGTAAAAAGTGTATACTTTTTTGTTAAAACGAACAAAGCCATTAAGTATATTTTATAGATGGATAGCACACACCAACAAAACATATTATATTCTAACCGATTTGTGAAAAAAAAGAAAAAGAACAAGTAGGTATATTATTATTTTGTTTAGCTGTTTAATATAAATAATTTAATTGTGTATACGGTATACTTATGGGTAAGTATCTATATCCGGGTACGTGGTATATTCACTACCCGAGGTGGATCCAAAAAATGATAACGGGGGGGGAGGGGGCATTTTTAAAATGCGTATAAGGGACGCATTTATGACGAGCTCAATGATGTTAAGTAACGATAAGTTAACAGTATGTTGTTGAGTGAACGGGGAAAGGGCGATCGCTTCTATCGCCCCTCCCTACCACAGGAGAGGACAAACGGGACACAATATGTACGGTGGCCCGCGCTTGTTTCGGTTTTAATAGACCCCACGGTAAATGATTTTACACAATCACGGTTATTACAGTTATCGTAAACGAGTTATCAAAAAGCGGCCCATACAGGTTGTTATCAAAAACATATAAAAATCTCCCTGCTTCGTGACGTGGTCTATAGTAAAAATTGCTATGACTATTTTGAACAATTCGACTATAGTGTTATACTGTAGTGTATTATTATTATTATAATTTTTTATTGACCCTATACGACGATAATCCGTTAATTCGTTAATTATTGTGTATTTATTCAATCCTTGACCTGATTCCCGTTTACTAAATATACTCTTCAAAATAGTTTGAGCAAATTTTATAACTCTGTTTTAGTTCCATTCCCAATGTTTCCTCCCACAATTTCGTTCGTTCTGCATTTTCATGCGCTAATATTGGTACCTACGAAAATAGTTTTGGGAAATGGCTTGGAGTTTTTTTATTCAACAATAAACCGTAATTTAAAAAAAAAAAAAAAAAAAAATACTGCGAATATAAATAAAAATCACTATAGATTGACTGTAATTATACCGAAAATCTATCATTATAATTAGTTTATCTAAAATACACCTAGGTATGTGCACTATTACAGACTTATTAATAAGTAGGCCTATAAATCTCGTATCGTATCAATTGGCCGACACCCAATTTGCCGATAACTGATTAACCGAAATATTGACTCAGTTTAGTTCAACATTTACTTATTAAAAAAAAAAAAGTCTAGCATAATATTATTTAAAATTATTTGTAAAAATCACGACCATTGTTCATGTCAACTATCAGTGACAGAAAAAAAAAAACTATACAATAATTATTAATCTTATTTTTGACATTATAGCATTTGATTCTTCTCCGAGTATTGCATCGACCTCGGCAATATCGGCAATAATTATCTATGTACATTTATAATAGTGGTTAGAACCTCTTTTTTTCTGTCCAGTCTGTACAGTATACAATTATTCGAAACTAATAGTTAACCAGAATTTATTATAAACCGTATTTTAAATTTAATATTATTAAATACCACTGATACCATTAATGGTTATGTTAAATTAATTGATGTCTAAGCATTGCCCCGCAAAACCTAGCGCCGGTCACTAAATATATTGAAATATTTCAAAATTTTATGCTCGGTCGTCTGCACATATTTTACAATAATTTTAAGATAATATCAATCGATTTTTTTTTTTTTCTATGATACAGGTATCCATTGTCTTATTGCACTACATTGTATAACTTAACGTCTTAACACATCCTACCTACCTCGATGAAAATCGTAGGGACGCCAAATGTCAAGGAAATAAAGATAAACGTTACGGTTCGGTATTGTCACCTGACACACGTACACGCGCGTGACAAATGGCGCAGCTATGTAAAAATGATTTTTGTTTACTAGGCGTATCTGTGTTTTAAAAGTTTTGAAACTAATAAAAAAAAAAAAAAAAATCTAAAATCACGTTGATCATTGTGCAGCCGTAATTGTATTAGTGATTTTGTAAACGCCAAAGGTAAATAACACTTATAAATTACGTACCTCACAACAATACCAGAACGTGATAATACCTATACATAGGTACTTACGAGTAGCAAGGAAATATTATCTTTTTTTTACAATTTTTGTAAACATTACCAATTAAAATACATAAAGAAAATGTTCAAGTTGTCTATACATGTTCTGTTTTATTTTGAAAATTTATTTCCTGTCTACAACAGTGACACACCCGTCAACAGTATCGGCTCTTTTATATTCTGACGTTAAAAAACGGACTTTGTGTTTTTTTTTGTGCGTATAATACATGTAGGCATCCGAGCCCCACCTAGTATTGTATACTGTTGGGCATTGTGGCCGGCGGCGGTTCGGAATATTGAGGAATGGGAAGAGTAATTTCGATTTTATTTGTAATAAAATAATACGAAACGTTGGGAAAATATCGGGAAAACAACAACAATTGCAGGAGGCCGACGACGGCGTGTAAATACGCGCACGGGTCTCGGACTCTCCGGGGCGGCGGCCCGCGCCGGAAAGCTTGTCGGCTCGGCCGTTCGGGGCGCGCCGATCGGACCACCGCGGCCGCGAGTAAGTTGCTCGGCAACGTCGCGGACCGCTTCGGCGCTCTCGTCAATAATCGTGTTTGATAATAGTGAGCGGATGTCCGGCGGTAGTTCTCGACGAACCGACCGGATAAAATCACAATCACCGACCGATAGGCTACAATATTCGGGTACAGACCAAAACCGTACTGAGCATAACGGCGGTCGGTCGTTCGCGGCGTTTTTCATAATAACCCCGGCAGGGACGGGGGCAATCATGTTTGACTTGGTCCGCGGCGACGGCGACGACGACGTTTGCGTTTACCGCCACCGTTTGTTTTCGCCCGCGCACGTTCGCGCGGATCTCGGTCACTGATAACCCGCCGCCGCCTCAGTGTAGCGCGCGCGCGTGTGTGTGTGCGCGTGTGTGTAATACACTCCGTTCTCCGTGCGTTCGGTGTACGGTCGCTGGTGGGTGCGTGTGCGTGAGATTTCGCGTGTTTGTGCGTGCGGGTGCGTGACGTTTGAACGTGTGTGCGTAAGTGCGTGTCGTGTGTGTACCTACGTTATCTTTAGTGTGCGCGGCTCCTGTACCCCAGCGATCGCCGCAGCCGTGCGAGTCATCCGTGGGACCCGAAAATTCGGTAGTCGCGATTTAGCAGGAGATAAAAAAAAATTTAAAAAACAGAAAACTTTTTCGAGGTGAGTTTTTTTTACGTCGCCCGTCGGTACAGGTACAGCGCAGCGGTGTGGCGGAAGCCGCGAAGGCCGAGTCGGCGACTGTGTTTTATTATTTTTCTGACACAGTTATATTATACTTGCTCGGTATACCCGCCTAATAATATAATATATAATACCATTATATATATATATATTTGTATATATATATACACACACATAGTATTATATATTATATACAGTCAAGGACACGGGCGCCCGCCACATTGTCCGTTCGTGCGCGCGTGTACGTGTGTGTGTGCGTGTGCTCGTGAACCTAATAATGATCGCATCAGTCGATTTGTAGAAGATTTACACGTCTGGTCCGTGTGTTTGTGTGCGTGTGTGTGTGTGTGTGTGTGTGTGCGGCCGCTGTTGTTTCAGGAACGATGAGTACCAGCAGCGAAAACGGCGCCAAATTGACCGTGCCCGACGAGCTGCGGGAGATGCTGCTCGACTTTACCATCGGTTACTTGCTCGAACAGCCCAGCGATCTCATCGACTACGCTATCGAGTTCTTCGATAAGCTAAAGAAATCCAAGTCGTCGTCGTCGTCTTCTGGCGTTGTTAAGCAGCAACAGCAACAGCAGCAGCAGCAACAGCAGCAGGGTGCCGGCGATTTCAGCGACGAAGACGATGCATCAGATATCGGTGCGTATAATGTTGCCCCCCCCCTCCCCTCGAATTTTTCGTGTTTGTTCGGTAGGTGGGTATTTTCCAGCTGCCTTAACTAGTCGGTCTAACTAACTCGTCCTAGGGATCATATTTCGTGAACGTAGAAAGTCCCACTAGCCCTAGGTGCTTGGGTATTTTTCATTAGTTTGATAACACAAAAGAAGAAATTCACACATTTATTATTTAATGTAAATTTCAAAACGATTTGGGTATAATTGGTTGTTATCATTACTTCATTAGTGTTATTGGGCATAAAATTAAATGACATTACTAATGTGAAAACAAATAATATTGTTGTCTACTTATAATTTATAGGTAGTTTGAAAATTCTATAATCTACAACTATTTTTTTTACTACACTTGTTATCAATATTAAACAAATAATACCTAATGTCGATGGTTTACTTAACACTATTTTCATTCAAACAATAGCTAGATTTTTAATGTTTTACAAATGAAAGTTCTTGCCTGAAATAGAAATGTATTTAAAATCCATTTACACCTTAACAACCTGTAATAAATTGATAGCAGAATTTGTATAGAATTATTGTTATTATTTTTATTTACCTATTCATTAACTGAATGAATTAACATTAATTACATTCTGTGTATTTCATATCATGTTGTTATTATGACTAATATGGATTATAGTTTGTTATTTTAATTGCAAATCAAAGCATTGCTCTGGAAACATTAAACTCAATGTTCAATATTTTAAGGTAGGCATCGATAGTACTGTTTATTTGTTTTACATTAAATATACAATGTATTTATGTTTATTGATTTACCTATTGAAACTAGTATTAATTTGTAGAGTATTAGTAGGTACTGATTAGTAAGTAGTAATAAAATTTAGGTATCAATAAAATAATATTTTTTTTTTCATATATGCATTAAGTAGACATACTTTCATATAGTGTGAAATGTTATTTTCCTATTTTATTTCTTTTGAGGGCGCCATTCAGTTTTAAGTTGTCATCATGAGTTGTATGAGGATATTTAGATTGAGCAAGAAAGGTTGTTATAATTTAATAAATGCACAAAATGATCAGTATATATTTGAAATTGTTGACAATTGTGTGGAAACTGCTAAATGTTTTAACATGTCATCTTTTAGACTCAGATCCACGTCTAATGATTCTTTTTTAGTACCTTGGTTATTAAACATAGGTAATTAATTATTTGACATATGAATATAAATTTGAATCTTTAAATTAAATGTTTATGCTTAATAGTAATTTAACAATTCAATTTTTTTGTTTTAGAAGCTCCACCAACACGTTATTGTTCTAGACGCAAGTCCGTTTTTGCAGAAACTTATAATCCTGAAGAAGATGAAGAAGAGGAGGGACCAAATGTATTTAATTACAATTTGATAATTTTATAATTTAGAGTTTAATATCTTTAATGTGTATCTATTCTTTTAGGTTGTATTTCCGAAATCTGATGATCAACGCCAAGCACTTGCAGCTAGCGTTAAAAATATATTCATATTCAGAGCATTGGATCCAGTAAGTTATAAAATGTATTTGTATAGGTAATCATATTATTATGTATTATTATGCAATGCAGTACTAAAATATATATCCATTTTTTTATTAATTTAACCATTAATGATGCATGTTTCATTATTAATGACAATTAATACAGACAAGTAAAATTATGATAAAATATGAATGATTATTTGTTAAAATATATACATTTTTTTCAATCAATAAGTACAATATAAAGTAAAATGTACAATAGTTTATTCTTTGACATTAGGTATTTCAGGTATTTGGCTAAAAACATAAAACACAAAAAAAAAAAAAGATCTACTTTAAAAATTTAAACAAACGAGGATTTATGAAAATTGTAAAGTCTAAAATTAAAGGGATGTTTTTTTGTATTTTAACACTCTGGGTATACAATCTCTTGATTTTTAGTGTCGGAACGTGTGAAGTAAATTTGGCATAGTATTACTATTGTATTAATATTATTGTATAAAATAACAATTAAATATAATAGAAGAATCTAAAATAAAATAAATAGCGTGACGGTCACTACTCTAAAGAAGGTCATTGTTGTAGGTGCAAAGTTAAGAAGGATAATTTAGTTTATAATATATTGTATGTAAATGAAACATGATTTTTTGTAGAGTTCAATTAAATATATATATTTTTGCATACATTTTAATTGAAAACATTACCGTACAAACAATAAGAAATATTACATAAAATATTTAAGCAATTATACAATGCTAACAATTTTTATTCATACATAAAAATAAAAAATGAAAAACTTCAAATAATTATGATTAACATAACCATAATAAAACCGTAAAATTTGCTTAGGACACTTTCAAGGAATCAGCTCAAAACAGTGACTTATACAAGAATTGAAGAATTCATTTAAATATAAAGTTTTTTTTTTAAACTTTTACTATTAAACATAATTAAACAGTTAAAACATTTATACATTAACATGAATTAAACAGATTAATTCTATCAATTACCTTTGTTTGAAAAAAGTTTATTTTTGCTTGCTTCAAATTCTGAATGTGTTGTAGCAAGAAAGTTTACAATGCTGCACACCCTTTATCATATTTATTTAAAATATTCAGTTTGTTTGAAATTGCTAGCGCTTTATATTTTATTCCACTAGAACTAGTTAAAACAATTATAGATACAAATTTGCCAACAAACTGCACTACACTAATCTACAACCACTTGTTATTTCATAATACAATAAAAATAATATGATAAGTACATGTAAATGACTTACACTAATACTACCCAAATACTATACATGTTTAATGTTAACTACTGAACAAAATATCGTCTTATCTGATTATATTTAGAAAAACCAAGCAGATTATCAGGTGGTTTTTGCATAAATCAGTGTAGGGAATGTTTAGGGACCTGCGGAAAACAGCGTCTCTGCAGGTAAAGTGTCTTAAGTGAGTTTTACTGTATTTCAAAAATTATTCTTCATCTAGAAAATGCTTATAATATGATTATTTAACAACTACGATTATTTTCACCATATTTACTAAACAATATGGATTTTAACAGAAATCATTTTTCTGTAAATATTCTCATTTTTTATTTTTTTGGTTTTTTCCATTTTAAAAAACTACCTTAAATTGAGTTTCATTTCTTAACTACCTATAATTCTTACTTGAGTGTAATATTATTTAAACATGAAGGTCTCTTAAATATGTTTAGGCTTTTTATTTTAATTTTAATTTTAATTAATGTTAAATAATATACTTAATTTTCTTATGTAATAATATTGATAAACATATTTGATATTTTATATTTATATTTTTTCAAGTAAATTAATATAGTTTTTTGTTCGGTCGTGCAATTTAAACACTTATATGACATATTTTTTTTTGAACATATTTCATTATGAGTATATTGTAATGTAATATAATCAATAAATTTACATTTTTTTTTTTTTTTTGTTATTCAGATATTATATTCCTTAGTTACTGCTCTTTTGTTTCTATTTTCAATTAACAATTGTTTTCTGTTTACTTTCACCAAATAGTAAAACAATAAACAATAATTATTTTATGTGGTACTGTAACCTAATCATAAAATATTATTTTATTTTTATTAATTGGTAGCAACAGTATCTCATTTAAATTGTATAAACTAATAAACGAGATAGTATACTCAAAGAAATAAAATTCTAAAATTTTTCATAAACTTATATACCCTAATATATTCTTTTCTGAATTCATAAATTTAATAATTAATTATTTGTAATATTTTTCATTGGTGAGTAAATATCAAAGTTATTTTTTGAATTATTTTTTTTTTTCAAATACCTTATAAAATATTCTGCTATAAAACATGATGTATTTTATATATTCTATTGAAAACCAAACTAAACTGTTTTTAAACTTCTTTTAAAGAATTATGTTACAATGTTTTAGTAGAAATTAATTAAATTGAATATAGTATAAGTAGAATCAAATATTCTATGTTTAATTTTAAATTGCTTCTTGGTTATATTTATTTTGTTTAAATAATAATGTAATTATTTACTATGAAATTTTCTTATGGATTTTTTATTAACATAACAATAATTATATTAATAGTAAAAATCTAATCAAAAGTGGCCTTTTTTTAAATTCAAATTATTTATATGTATTGAATCTTAAATTGTTTACCATTAATTTATCATCATTCACTGGTATTGAATTTTTTTTTTCTTTTAAAAATCAAAAAAATCTGTTATATTACAAGTTACTTTTTATTTAATAGCTATAGTCATTTGTTTTGTTACATTAGATGAGTTAATCTTGGATATTAATGTAGTCATGTTTTACTAAAGTGTTATACCTTACCTAACTGTCTATTTTCCACCAAATTTATCAGTTTTGTTTTTGGCTGTATAAAGTTCACTGTTAATTTTATTGTTTTAAACTTTATGAGTACTTGAACTATTTTGTAACTGTTCATTTGATCTTACAAATAAAGTTATAAAGCATTAAAATAATCTATTTTTTTATTTTTTTAATTATAAATTTAAAAAAAAAACAATGCTCATAAATAGCGGAAATATTGTACATCATCGTTACACGCCTTGTTCAAATTGTTGTTTGTGGGTAGGCTAATTATGTAAGTGGGAAGTTCGGAAGGTATGGTTTGCATGGGCATTTTATGTATGGTAAGACTCAACAATAAATCATTATTAAAAAACAAAAACCAAACAAAATTTGGTTTATCTTGCTTTGATGAACTTATATTGAAATTAATATTAATTTGTAACTAAAAAATAAATAACAATTGTTCAAATTTTTTGTATCTAATTTTTGAGCATTGTAGAGTTAAACATCTTATTGACATAAATATTACTGTACAATTAATTATTTAATTTAAATATATTATTTATAAAAAAAAAAAAACCAACTTGTTATTAGAATCAACAAAAGTACTTAGATTACTAGAAAAAAAAACAATTTTAACTGCATACTCTTTTTCTAATATATTATGTATATTTTCTTTTAGGAACAAATGAACAACGTTATTGATGCAATGTTTGATCGTCAAGTGCATGCTGGAGATGATATTATAAAACAGGGTGATGATGGTGATAACTTTTATGTCATTGACAGGTAATATTAAATATGACATCTACTACTTTTCTTTAAAATATTTGCAAGAAACCTAACAATTAATTAAATTTCATGTCGTTTCAGAGGAACATTTGAAGCTTATGTGACTGATGCTGATGGTAATATCCATTTGGTACATACATACGAAAATAAAGGTAGTTTTGGAGAACTTGCATTATTGTACAATATGCCACGTGCAGCAACTATTAAAGCAAAGTCAGACGGCCTTTTGTGGGCTATGGATCGTCAAATATTCAGACGTATTGTTTTGAAAAGCGCATTTAAGAAGCGCAAGATGTATGAAGAGCTAATTGAAGTGGTTCCTATGTTAAAAGCATTACAAGTAAATTAAAACATAAAGAGTTGAATACAATTATTTATTAATGTACCCACTTATTAAAATAATAATTATTGTATTAAATTATTTCAGTCATATGAACGCATGAATTTAGCTGATGCTCTAGTCCCAAAATACTATCAACTTAACGATTGCATTATAAATCAAGGAGATCCTGGGGACGGCATGTATTTTGTTGAGGAAGGCATTGTTAATGTTTTAGTTACCAGCGAAACTGGTGAACAAATTAAGGTTTGTTTTATTTTAATTACATTTTTGTATTTGATTGATTGTTACAACCATAAATATTATTGTTAAATAGGTTAATCAAATAGAGAAAGGTGGTTACTTTGGTGAACTTGCACTCGTCACTCATAAAGGTCGTGCTGCTTCAGTATTTGCTGAAGGCAAAGTCAAGTTAGCATGTATGTACAATATATAATAGAATTTTAGTTCAATGAATTCAAAGTTTTCATCTTAATTTTGTAGATTAAATACCTAAATAGTAGATTGTATTTTTATCATACAAAACATGGCATTAGTATTATAAATTTAAAATTAATGTTGCATTATTTATCTTTAAACATAATTATTTGCTACAAGTATTTACAAATAAGTGTATTGAATTATTATTTTAATGTGATTTTCAAAACGATTGGATTATATTTGAGTTCTATTATCTATTAAGATGGTAAATATTTCCCAAAATGTAAGAAATACCTCACATTTAGGTTAGGAGACAAATACAATATTTCTTCTTACCACCCGAATTACTATTATGTTAATTACACAATCAAAATTATTTGTCATGTATATTATTTTGTATAAATTCAACAAGGCTTACAAACACAATTCTAATGTTATCTAATAGCTATATATAGTAGAACTTTATTAATCCGGACTAGTTAGGACTCTAGGTTGTCAGGGTTAATGAAAGTCTGGATTAAATGAAATAATCAAAAACTGTATTATTTTATTTAAAAATTTACTGGCTTCAATGACGTTCTACTGTATATATATTCAGAGCGTCCAATTAAGTTATGACCATTGCAATATCTTCGATATTAACTTTTTTCCTGTTTTTTTTTTTTTTTTTTTAACAATTTATGGAACAATTAGCTCTTAAATGTTAAATTACCATTTTTTTTGTTTTTTTTTTTTGAGATGAACTGACTGCTTAGTTTTAATTCTCAAATGGTAACCTATAGTAAAAATTCCATAAATAGACTGAGTATTAGTTATATATTTTGGTGTTGAAATTTTTGAGTTTTATTAAATCATTGAGGTGATACTCCACTTTTAAGTATGCATAGAAGGAAAGTAATGGAGCAGTATATTGTCATACAAATGATGCATCCTAAAAAGTGACAAAAATAATGGTAATGTGACATTTTAGAGCTAATTGTTTCTTAAATTGTAAAAAAAAAAAATGATACTTTTCAAGTTATCTTAATGATCATATTTTCATTAAGACACTGTATAAATAAAGAAATCAATTGACTGATAGAAATATTAACACTTAGCCTAAACAATCGAATCTGAAAACATTTTTCTCAGAGAATCTTTTATGTAATGCAGTTATTTTATAGTTATTAAGAATCATTGCGCTGTAATTTGAAAATTCACAAATGTTCCATCTTTTTTAGTTTTCCCAATTATTTTGAAAACTCCTAAGAAAAATCAAAAATGACCTTCCCCATACACCAACTTGAGAAAATTTCCTTTCAGAAAAATTACTATACTTCGTGCATATACTATACTATGTACTCTGGTATAACAGTTATTCACAGAAAAATAAACCACATATTAAAATCAATAGATCTCTTTTGAATATAAAATATTAAACAAAAGAAATAATTTAAAATCATTTTATCTCCTAAAAGTGAAATAAATAGTTAGATATATTTGTCTACACAATTTATTTTTATTTTGGACTTATTTCATGTGGCTGTATTCTAAATATTTTTAATATTTCAGTAGTTTTTATTTATAGCAATAAATATCTTGATAAAACCCGAACATTTTTCTGATAACAATTGATATTTGTTAGTAAGATCATTGATCTTTTAACATCAATAATAATAAACAATATTAATAAGTTTGTTTAGCGATAATTTTTTATTGAATAAAGGTTTTTTACTATATGTTAATCTCAGGGATGGTAGTTAGTCACTATTTTTATTTTAGTCACTTAAAGCCACTTTTTAAGTATTCTCATACGATTTTATAAAAATTAATTATTATATTGATATTTATGATGAGATTTTAGTATCTTACTTTGGATAATTTGCTGTATGATGAAAAAGAATTTTAAAGTCTTATATAAGTTTAACCTAATACTACTAATAATTGGTATATAAAAATATACCAATTGTTAATAAATCGTTTTAATCAATTAGTTATAATTAAAGTTGTTATTTATCTTTAAATTATCACTAAATTCTTTAATAAAATCGGATTGTTAAACTATCATACCATTATACTAATTATTATGTATAGTAATATTATAATTATTACCTACTACTACCTTTTATTAACTATTACTATTAGTGTCAAATAAGTGTATTTTTTGTTAATGTAAATCACTTATTTTCGTATGGAAGTTACTTTTTAGTCACTTAATTGTAAATTTTTGTCACTTCTCACTTATTTTCAAAATATTGACCACTTTCATCTCTGGTTAAGCTTTACTTGTAGATTTTATATTTTTAACACTTACAAATGCCTAAACACATTTTTGGTATTTTAAACATGTTTGAACTCAAATTTTGAAAATCACGATATAATTAGAGTTTGAATATTACCAATGTCTACTATTTTTTCAACATATATGTTTGTGATTTTTGCTCATAATATATAATCAAAAATTTAGCCTCATAAGAAATTTTCCTATTTCCAACAGAAATAAAAATATTTACAGATCAGATGATAGTTTTTACAGTAAATTATTTTGAGAAGAAAAAAACAAATATTGTGCAATATACAAATTAAAACTAATTAGATTATTTGTTAAGAGTTGGTAATTACTTGTTAATTATAAATCTTAATAATTTGTTACTACCAATTTTTGGTCACTGTTGTAGGGGGATGTTTTGAAGGTTTGATATTTGTAGGTTAAATTAATTTATATCTGCAGGCAACGATAATCATTGCTGGCGAAATATGATTTTGAGCGAAGTTCAGTTATACAATATGTTTTGAAATGAAATAATTTTTAAAAAGTTTTCATTACAATTTGAACTTAAAATACCTATAGAAAACTACTACTACTGCTCAAGCAAAATTTTTTACCATAGAATAAAACTTATAATGAAGCTCGTATTACATTTTTAAATATTTCTGTTAGGCTAAACAAATTTATCCACAAAAAACCAAATAAAAACTATAAACTTAAAAATATCAAATGCATATAAATCCTTGAAAATTGTACCACGTCTAATAAAGGCTAATATTAGTATTCTGTTGAAGTATCAGGGTTTTTAACCATATTATAATGTAAGTACAAAATCAAAAATAATGAAGCCGCTAATACCATATATTTTCCTATTTTTCCTCATTTTTTGTAATGATTATGAAAAACCATTCAGAAAATCAAAAAAATACCTCTTAAATGTAACATTCTGAATTTTGCAGTTCTTTTGTTGATTTTTAATTGGTGCAAAATTTTTGGTAGAAAAGTTGTACACAGACAGAAAGAAATTACACTTATTTTTACTATATTATCATTATTCAATACTAAATTAAATTTTACTATTTTAAACATTCTAAGTTTAAAATAAAACTTTATACTTTTGTTGTTCTCAATCTAATATATTTTAAAATTGACGTGTATTAAAAATTAGAGATTCTAATATATTATTAGATTATGTTAGAGATTATTACAATATAAGTAAAGTTGTTGAATTTGAAATTAAAACATTGACAAACAAATTATAATAATACACTTTATTTATTGTTAATAAATATAAACATTCAATTTAAATTTTATGCATTTTTATTAGATTATAATATGCTAAAAATATGGTAAATAATGAGTATATAATTTATTTTTAATTTTATTTTTACTATAAAACGCTGATATGTGGCTTTTAATTTACATTAATACTCAAATATACCTTAATTAGAATATATAATTAAATTTTTTATATTTTAAATTGATTTGATTAGATATCTAATAAACATTTTTTTTTAAAGACTTTCATGGTTGTGTTTAGAATAAAATGAGAGTTTTGATTTTATTTTTTTTAATAGTAATAACTTCTGTTGTAATGTTTGCTGCTTTGATTATTTTACATGTTTTTATATATTATGAAACATGATATTTTTAACTTTATTTTCCCTATATTTATACTCGAGAGCAATGTTTTTTGTTATCATCTTCTGTTAAATAAGAATTTATACTATTTTTAGTTTTATTTTGATAGTTCTGGAATCTTAATGTTGTAATTTCATAAATGAGTATCTTAGTCTAAAAGTTGGTTCATACAACATATTGTGCCAAAACCTAAGGTTCTTCGTCACTAGATTTTTCAAGTTTTAAAATAGTCTTCAAATTTCTATAAAGTAACACTGTTCAACTTGTTTTGATTTTAATTTTAAAAAACTGATCTCAATTGTTAGGCAATCATTTTATTTTTGTACCGCAATATTTTAGTTCCGAACAATAAATCAATTGTAAATATTAACTCTTAGGCTTAAATAAAGTACATGTTCTGCATAGGCGGGTAAAACTAGTAGTTATAAGTCCAATAGCATTTTAAAAACTTTTCTGTTTTTTTTTCTGTTGCGAGATGCCATTGTATATTAAAAGACCGCCATAGTAGCAAGTTTCTACTAGACAATATAGCAAAAATGTGTTAATGTAACACAAACAAAAAAGTACATTTGTAAACATATTGAGTGAATATAGGAATATTTAAAATACAATTTCTCAAAATTAATAAATAATATTATCATTTTTTAATTTACAAAACTTAGTCATGTGGTAAAAAAAAGCCCAAATATGTATTTAAATTTGTTATATATACCTATTAAATACTTGATTAGAAATCTATGTTTTTCTTTATTTGTGCCAATAAGACACAGTATGTAAAATTTGCTAAATGTGCCATGGAGTTACAGCATTTCACCCTTAAGGTAGTAAACAATTTATAGGCAAAATATTATCGTCGTTTTATAATTCTCTAAATATTTAATTCATTATCAAAAGTCCTATACAAAAAAAAATTGTGTTTTATATATTTATTTTAAATGATTGTAACTATTTTTAATTAATGAAATTAATATTCCAAAAAACGCCAATGAGTTAGAATAAGTTTTTGAGAAACCTAAAAGGTTTTTCTCAATTTAAGAAAAACAGAGATGGAAAAATTAAACTGTCGCTGTGGCCTCTTGACTGCAGTAGTATAATATTTGAAGGCTGCTCGATTTTAATAACGTTTCTTTCTGTATTCTTTGCGTGTTTACTATTTTCTGGTTAAAGATGTTCTCTTTTTCTGTATATATATATATATATACTCTCCACTCAAGATTGTAGTTTTTCAAATGTTAATAAGTTTCAATTAAATTCAAATAGGTACATATTTATTTATTGTTGTTGTGTCGAGTTTTGTTTTGTTTCCTGTTCAAATAATGTTTGTTTCACATTTGTTGTGTTTACTATCTTCCTGCAGCTACAGCCGTCCACTACTTATTGCAGTTTTTAATTAAATTTAAAATATAAGAAGACATTTTTTTAATAATTTGAAATACTATTATTGTGCACATTTTATTATTATTTTTTAAATTTAAATTTTTATCTGGTATTTTTAATAACATTTCCGCAATTTAATAATATTTGATAACCAGGTATTCTTTAGAAATGTTATGTGCCATAATGTCAATAATCTTTATTATATTAATAATTATTATTACTATAGTTGAATCATTTTATAATAAAAAATGATTTGCATTGTTAGGTTATTTATAGTGTTTTAGAAATATTCATCATAACAGTGTTTACAAAAAACCTCTGTCAAAATAATAGAACAGGTTTATTTTGGACAGTTCCTATATTGTATATTTGTTAAATTTTTTTCAATCATCATTAAAATTGTATAGAGCCCCCAAGTGTTTAGGTACTGTTTTATTAATTTTTGTTTTTTCCAGTTTTGGACGTTGACGCATTTGAACGTTTGTTGGGCCCATGCATGAACATAATGAAGAGGAATATCGAAGATTATGAAAATCAACTGGTGAAAATCTTTGGGTCTAAGCAAAACATGACGGACGTTCGATGAACAATCATCGTCCAGTCGGGTTACATTATGATTGTGTTGTATAATATTCATTTATAGTGTTGTACTCTGTTTCTGTTTCTTGTCCTATACCAAACTGTTTGTGGTAAATCATATTTATTATTATAATTACTCTTAATTTACAAATATGTAGTTATCATTATTATTATTATTATTATATGTGGGTGTATGTCTGTGTGCGTGTGTATACAACTTGTTTATTCACACACACACACATATATATATATATATAAACTTATTATATAATTGAATATTTATAGGTACAGTTGCGCAAATAAAACAATTAAAAACAATCACATAATCAACCAATAAATAATTGGCATCCCTTTTTTGTATACATACATATTGTATATATATATATTATAAACTATTGATATTAATATTGATAATCTATATTTGAACAACCACATCATTTACATTAACCCAAGAGATATCGTACAATACGATTATTTAAAAAATTTAATTTTGCGCTTCAATGTGTTTTATATGTTATTAGTTGCGTGATTAACGATTATTAATAATAATAATATATATATATATATACGAGAACTGCAGTATTTTTTTTGTTTTTATTATTATTATTATTATTATTATTAGTGTACTTATATTAGGTTTCAAAATAATAATTATTATTATATTGATAAACAAGTGTTACTATACATTATAATCACGATCAATACATGCAATTTCAGTTTTTTCGATTGATTTTGTTCAAATGTGTCTATATTCTGGGGTAAAGTTTTCTATTCTTAATATATTTATTATAATATAATAATAATATACTACGAGAGGCGTACTTGATTATTATTAGGGTTTAAGTAGATTCTGTATCTATATATTCTCATCTTGACCAATATATAAACTTACTATACTTTATACAGGTGAACTTAATATTTTTATTATTAGGTCGTTCAAAAATAAAAAATAATAATTACACACTAACTATACACGTTGCCGAATGGTTCCCGTATATATACATACTAATAAAATATTTAAAATATAATATTTATATTCCTATCCGCTTTATTATAATATTATTAACGTGCACAGGGTTGTAAATAATATCTTGCTGGAGTGTGAACACACCATCAATATCCTGTAGACAAATAATTTATATTGTTCTAATTAGATTCTTCGATGTGCGTATGTGTGTGTGTGTGTTGATTTAATTTTTTTTGTACTTTGGAAATACTTACCTAACTTAAAATTATAACCAGATGTTTGTTTTAGTTAACTATTCGAGTGACAACAGTGGTTTGCCACGACTTCTAAAAATGTTATCTGTGGGTGAATCTATGTGTGGCGCTCCATAACACTCTTTTGTGGTTCTGCGTGTTTGCTTTTCAGTCAAATAACGGATGTTTTATGATAATTTTATTGAAAACATTTATACCTCGCTTTTATTATTTCCCTTTTTTTTTTAACATTCGGTAACGGAAAAAATTACGGCAAAAACCACCTAAGGTATTAGATGTATAATAATAACATCATATTGTATATTTACCTTACCCATCATCTTATAGCTATTATTGCTTAAATATACTTATTAAGTCCCCACTAAACATTTTTTTTTTGTGTGTTTTGTTAGGTAATTTGAAAAACAATTTTTTTTTACAATTTTAGTTGTTAATTTAAAAATATAGCCATATATGAAGACTTAATTTAGATATTTAATTCATATAATTATTATTGTTATAGTCACGATTATTATTATTAATTATAATATGTATTACATAATTATATTGGGTGCAATAAATGTGTATAGATAATATTAAAGTATTATTTATATTGCCCAATTATTTTTTTTTCTTTCGTTTTTGTTTTGTGTTTGTTTTTATTTTATATATTTTCTTAGACTTTAGATTGTTATTATAACATTTATTGTATTAGGCTCGTGAAATACCCATAATTATATATTGTATTCGCAATAAGTGGTTTTTATTTTGTTTTTGTGTCGTTTTTTTTTTTTAGTGAATTATTATGTAGTTAAAGTTCATATATATATGAATAATACATAGTTCAGTTTATATAATATTATACAGTGTTCACATTTATCTATGTATATTTTTTTTATTTTGTTTTGTTTGGTGGTTGCTATTAATTTTATTATGTTATCCTTATGAGCGTTTTTATCTTCCTAGAGTATTATTCTCACGACAAAATAGATAATAATATTAAATATCCATTTTGTCGTGACTATTATAACATTATTATTTATGTATTTATAATTTATTATTATTATTTTATTTTTTTTATGTATTAGTGAATATAATATTATAAATTGCAAAGTTTTACCATATAGGCTTTTTTTCCAGTACAATAAAACATTAATTGAAAATAATATAATAATAATAATATTGTATTTACCATTTTTTAAGTAATACTTAAATATAATATTATAAAACCGCAGACTTCGTTGTGTTATTTTTTTTATTAATTTATTTAGTAGCCTGACATTTTTTATTGATTTTTGTTCATAGTCATTCCATCAGCCATTCTGTTCTGTTATACCTGCCTGTTTCCCGTCCATCGACTAATCCAACATAGGTTATTATTTTTTGTATGTTTGGCGATAAAAATCTGTCTCGCAACATGTTTTGTTGTAGTGGGCACCTTTGTAATATTTGTTTTTCGTCCATTTACTCTCACCATTTATCCTCACGCCCACGCGTCTCTTCTTTCTAATTTTCCTTTATCCAATGGTAGTTCGTTAATCTAATTCTGCGAATAATACAAGCTGTACTTAATGAATTTGAGTAGACACATAATTTAAGTACAATTTTATATCAGTATTTAGATAATACAACTTCTTTGGCCAACATTTTTAAATATTAAAAACGTTACCAAAAATTAAACATTTCGAAAAAATGTATTATGTTTAGAGTTTAAAAATATATTATGCGTTGCGATTATTTGTAAATCTGAAGTCTATAAGTACCCAACGTCCTAACCCGTATAGTAGGAGGTAAATATATACAGAACAATGGTAACTATGGGTACAATGAGGGAAAATATCGTGCACGCGATCATGTTACAATGACTGAAAAAACAGATCAAATTTTATCAAAATTTTCAAGATTAACACTGCTGGTTCGTGATAAAAAAAAAAAACCATCCCGTGAGTTTCGATTTTCTCCAGACATTCCGCGTCCCGTCGCGTTTGAAACGTTTCAGAATAACGCCCCCGCCAATGCCCGTCTGTACGTCGCGACGTTCTTTTACAACTCGAGATGTACCCCGTGACCCGTACCCCTATTATACTTATATACGCACCCCGTCTCGTCATTCGAAAACGAAATATTATACTTAACTCGTTGCAGTCTCTCCACCACACACACACCATGCAATCTAGTGAAACCTAACCTAACAAATATTGTATAGGTACTCCGTATTTTGAACCTGAATTTATATTAATACGTTTTGTGCCGGTAAAACGAATGGCAGACGCAGTTCCACTATCCAAATAAGTACCGATAAAGAAACGTAAATAATATTGGACGCCTGACTGTTGATATTTATTTTTGGTTTTAGTGACGCGCCCCTCCTCGGAAATCAGTTATTTTAATTATTATTTTGGGTGCACTTGACGAAAAAAAAAAAAAAATGTCACGCGGTGAAATGAACGGCGGCGAAACGACCGCGGCGACGTGCACTGGACCCGGTATGACGATGATCCGGGGGTGCGATTCGCCTGTTACACCGGTTCAAATATTATTTTAATATTAACAGAAATATTAGTTAGGTATATGGTGAAAACAGCGGGACGAGAAACTGCTGTAACTGATACAGTAAAACGTTTCACGAGGGCCCGCGCCTCCCTGGCTACAGAACGGCACAGCGATTGGCTCAAGCTCACAAAGAGATTTTCTCAGTAGCCAATCCGGTTGTGCAAGACGTAGCGGTCGTTACGTGAAACGCGTTCATTGTTGTACCGGTTCGACGCAGACAGCTTTGAAGCTTCGGAGCTCCGTGATTCCGCGGCCCTCACTCACTTTTCGTCGGACTTCGGTCGCGCATTGAATTTCCGCTACACCTTCTCAAAATTTCATCTACAACAGCGGCCCACCCGCACGCGAAGTATGTCCGCCTTTTGGATTCTGAAGCGAAGAATGTAACAAATGTGTTTTACAAATATGTTAATTTTTTTATTCGGCGCGCGAATAAATTCTACCAGAAATCTTGCTCCGACATGTACGCGCGACCGGATGGTCCTTTTGTCTACTTTGTGGCAAAAAAAAGAAAAAATCGAGTTTAATGTAATATTTTTTTTTTTATTTAGGAATTTTAATAACAAATTTTATCGAAAGTCGTTTGTGTAAAAACATATGTGGAACAGATCTAATTTTTCACACTTGCAAAAACGTGGGAAAATCGGGAAAAACGGAAAAATCGGTAAGTTTTAAACAAATATTATTAAAGAAAACATATAATGCCTTGTTACGTATGTAGATTGTACCTTATCTAATTTATATTATCTATGTAACATTGTAATAATATGCGATAAGATTATGTAATGTGTGTTATACCGACACAGTCAGTATATAACGTTGTTTTTAATAGTCAAATTATAAGAGTTAATAATATTAAAGTGAAACTGTAAATTGTATTATAACACATACAGAACATGACTATTGAATTATTTTATCATAATATGACATATATATATGTATACATATTGTTTACAAAGCATCACGTCAACTGAACTGCGCTCAGAACCGTTTTTTCGCTAGCAACGGTTTATCGTTGCTTACAGATATACATTAAATTACCTATACCCGTCTCCATTAGCTTACGACGTTTTTTTTTTTTTACATTTTTTCATCATACGTAAATGAATGAAAATCGTTGTTAATTCATCTAATGTCGGTACAATGTTTTAATTCTTATTCTCATGTCTAAGTCTAACGCCTGACACGTGCATGTAAAACCGATTGCACATTAATAATATTCATGTTATTTAGGTACAGGTGTATAATCACGACGAGGCGATCACTCGGGCGAATGTCTAGTACGTCGAAAAAACCCAGCAAATGTCCGTTTCGTTAGAAAAAAAAAAAAAAACAACAAAATAATTACCTTAGGTAAGTACTTAATTAAGTAGTTATGCGGGAATGTGTCCGGATGGTATTGTAGCTGAGTATATATTATGGTAGATAGGTAAGGTAGACCTTTTAAACGAACCAATCAAAAATTAACAGATTAGTTAATGACGTGTAATCCCCGAGTAAACACCGCTACCTACCCGCATCTCGTGTAATATATTACGTAGGTTTATTAACTACTGATTACACGCTCATTGTTTTTGGATACGCCATTTACATTTATGTGTACGAATCACGAGTATCGCGTGAAACTTTCATAAATCCAGTTTTAACGGTATGCAGCCGCCACCGGTGTATACGTTTTGTGTTATAACTTCCCGTCCCGACGTGCAATTCGCCCCGTCATAATTCGACGGGGAAACGCGCAGGAAACGTTAAAATAACTTGTGTGTATCCACCGTCGTCAGTGACATATTTCGGGGGGTTTTTTTTTTTCTTTTAGGGGATTTCTAGACGTTATTCTTCCACGGACACTATCATAAACTCGTGATGCGCTTCACGTCTTCCTACAGATTCATCAGAATCGGGTGGAGGGCGAAGGGGGAATTTTCAATATTGGCGAATAAAGTACAGCGACGACAACGCACCAAAACACCATCAATTTAGCAGTAGGTGCCTACTGCCTTTTTTGTTAGTATACAATATTTTTTTATCATAATTTATTACTTACGAATTATAAATATACTAAAGAAAACTATATATATATATAGACATAGATATGTTACGAACTTACAACCCTCCGATAAGACACTCATCTCGGAAAGTATTAACTTTTTCCGGAATTGTTTGGACAATTTAACAAGCGCCTCTAAAATGTTACGTAACAAACGTTATTTTTTTGATCCTTATATTCTGGGCTGAAATCACCGTCCACTTGTGCTCCCCAAAGAATATTACAAATACCATAGTTAATAGATACATATACCAAAATGTATTTGAACTAAAACTTTATCTATTTGTGGAATTTTTTAATACAGGTTGCTTGACAAAAAAGGTTAATTGAAAATCAAAAGTTATCAAAAAATTCTGAAAAAAGTAAATACTTTCCGAGATAATAAGTATTTTATCAAGGATTGATCACCCTAGCTGTATATTATTAAATATTAATATTTATCTTACAACAAGATGTTCGTTAATTAAAATTTATTACCACACACCTAGTAACATAATATACAATACAGATTACCTAGTATTTTTTTTTATTATACATAAAAATGAAAATATTAATTCGAACATATTGCTTTTATACTTTTAGTTGAAAAAGTAATTTGAGCTTACATTCTATCTAATAAATAACATAACATTTACAATATTAAGATTTGATTAAAAATTAATATTGTTTTGCTTAGATAGGTACCTAGGTACTTACTTTATAAAAATATCATAACACTAATACTATGCGGTACACAATGAAAATAAAGTCGTCGATTTTTTTTATACGATAATGATTCGCACTAACATATAGGTACGAGTGGTTCACGATTTGTAGAGTTTGTTCGCATTATTTCTTTTTAGGTCCCATTTGCCTAACCAAACCGAATACTTCCGTTACTATAATATGGATAATCCACGGGATACGCAACCTAGTAGTATTGTTGTCTCCTTCCTAATGGATGCCTATTTTAGTAAATCGTCAGAAGTTTTTTTTTTTTTTTAGAAAAATAATTTAAAAACGTTGGTATTGCTCACGGGTAAACCACTGTTGTTGGTGGGTAGTTGGGAAGGTATGATATACGGGGAGATTTGGTTTATATATTATATACTGTATAAAACGATGAATCATTGCTAATGGAATACAATTCTCAGCGAAGTTTGGTTAAACATGTTTTGAAATATATATCGTAATAAATAATTACTACTTTTTTTTTTTTTTAAATTTTGGATCTATATATAACATTAGAAATGATCGAGTTTCTTTTAGTTTTTGTTTGGTTTTATATGGACAAATTATTTTGGCCAAGCAGACATTTTTGAAAATTTAACACTAGGTTCACCATAAGTTTTATTTGATGATAAACATAAAGATAATTTAGTCATATTTTGTTTTAAAAGCCTTTTATGCTTAAATTTAGACGAAAATCTTGATAATAACGGTGTTTCAAAATATTTTTAATCGAATTTTGTTCAGAATCGTATTTTGTTATTTAGCATTAATTTGTCGTGGAGTTCAGATATTAATCAAATAACTTTATGTATCCTATTATTTCAACTTTTCACCTATAACTGGTATATCCATCAGGAATATCAGCTCTTTTTCCATTGAGGATCAATCTCCAATACAATTTGTTATTTGTTTTTGAACTGTTTTTTTGACTACCGTTGAACTGTAATAACAGGCCAAATATAATAATCGGGTGATATTGTATTATCATTTTTGAATTGTATTATTAAATTTTTATTGGCATGTAAGGATGATAATTCTATTTTGATTTAAACGTAAACATAAATGAGTCAAAATTTCAATTGTACCTATTGAAAGATTAAACAATAGGAAAATATAATGTAATAGTAGGTATATATGAGATAAATGATCTCGAGGGATTCTAAAAGTATCTAACTATTGTTCTAAGTATAAAATGTAACTTTTATATTAAATTTATTGGCTTTTGTATTAGATATAAAAAGGACGAAAATACGTTTGTAAAGGGTCGCTATACTGTTTCGTATCTCGAAAGTTTTTCGAAAAGTATTGTTAGAAAAACAATACTGGTATAGCACTGGTATCTATAGTATAATATATAAAATATATAAGTATATATATATATATATATATATGTAATGTACATATTTACCAGTGTTATACTACGAATATCTTTAACGATTTATTTTAAAATCCATTTAAATTCCATGTTTTGATGATATTTATAAGTGAGTTTTTTCATTAAAAATAATAATAAAAGGTAATCTATGATTAAATTTAGGGTATTTATGGCTAAGGAAATTTTATTCAGAACACATTCAAACAGAATTTATTTTTAGATTTTAGTCACAACCAAAGCGTATTTACAATTTTCCTGTATGGGATGATATCTGAAAAATAAAATCGATGCACAGGAGTGTATCGATTCATTTATGCCTCGATTCCTTTATTCGTCATACTTATTTCATTTATGTGAGGTGCATTTATGATGGCTATACTTTTACATAAAAAAAAAAGTTCGGTATTTTTAATATTTTATTTCGTTTGTTATTCTACTATTTTTAAATTACAAAATAATGCCCATTTGTCGAGGTTTCCTAGACATTTCATCCAAAACTTCTATATTCATGTGGATATTGCGTAGGATGTTTAACATTGACAAATCATTAACGTATTCTAAAATAGCAAAAAAAAAAAAAAACTTTAAAAAATACATAGATATGTATTTTAATATAATACTTACCTACTCCAGACAATGTATTTCGTATACAGAGGACTTAATCCTTTTCAAATTAAAAACCGTCCTTTCGGGACAAGATGTGCAAACTGGAAGTGTGCACAATACAAAATTAAAATGTATATTATGATTTAATATCCCCATCAGACCTCATTGAATTTTAGAAACCCAAAAAATGTTTTGATTAAAGTAATATTTTGATTTTTGACTAACAAGTTTGTTGATACACATTTTCAATTCAATCGTAGCCAAATATCTATAGATTTCTGGAGCTTAAATTCATCAAGTTTGTTGAATTTCACTGTATCTCCATTGTTAAGTTTTGAATTATTATTTTCGGCTTGCAGTAAAACCTTACTATTACAAGTTTAACCATTTTGAGATTTTAGCACCATCTAATGCACAAATAGTTGCTCTAAAACTTTGAAAGAGACATTAATATTAGATTTCCTGATAAGCTGACCTTTTTCTCTACTGTTTAAAAATGCACTCACTGTTAAATATCCAATTAGGTTAGGTTAGTAATAATTTACTATCACGTTATTGGCTTTATGCCCGAAATAAAATATAAATATTTTTTGTATAAAAACGCATTATAGACTATTTTTCAGTTTGCAAATTGTTTCCACCACATAATGCCTACTGTTATACATGGACAAAAATTAATAGTAAAATTGGTTCATATTTGTTAAAGTGGTTTCGGTCTTCTTTACCAATAAAATGTCACTGAAATGACTCTCTATGCAGATACCAGCGAAGGCCAAATTTTAATGACATTAATGATTATTTATATAGTAAAAATAATTTAAAGTAAAACAAATTGAACATAAATATTTAGAAAGCTGTTATTCAATAATTGAAGTTGACTCCAAATAGAAAATGCTAAAAGACACGCACATACATAGTTTTGTCCTTTAAAATCTAATGAGAATTTTTAGGTGTACAAGATTCAAAAGAAATTCTAATAAAACTCGAAAACGTTACAAATAAATGAATGGACATTAAAAGATTTCCCTGATAGATGGCGCCTGTGTGTCTGTATACCCTTTTCTATGGAATAAACTCTTCTACTGATTACGTATGATAATAAAAAGATAAGATAGTTTGATTTGAGAAGTGCTATTTTTGTCAGCTTTAGATGTCATCGGCCACACTGTGAACCGTAGAAAGTCTTTAATTATTGAAAAATAGTAAATTAATATATGGATAATTACTATTTATTAGGTATTATAAATTATTTGCCTATAGGTTTTACCAAGTTTACCAACGAATTCAGAGTTGGGCAAACAAACAATAAAATTCATAATATCAAAATAATATCATGAATGATTATTTTCCTTGCGAATACATTGCAAAAATGAATTTAAATAACTCGATAGTTCTCATTGAAGCAGTAGATATTGTATTTAAAAACTCAATTTCGATTTTTTTAATTTGCAATAGTTGAAAAACCAAACGGCTGAATAATAAATAATCAGGTAGTCACACAAAATAAAATGTCGAGGGGAAGGGGTTACGAAATATAGCAATACAAATCGTATAGCAACATAATAAAACAATTTTTTTCTTTTAACATATTATTTTTTAATGTGACAATATTATGCTAAGTATCCAAATTTTATGTATGTCATTTGTTCAGAAGTTATTATATGGGAACAATAATATTAATAACAAATAAAACTTTAAATAATATGTGTTACGAACAGAACAGAAATTTATTTGATTATTATGCACATAAAGTTACCTATGTATTCTATTAATTAGATTGGAAAAAAAAATCAAACAATTTATATAATCTATATTAAAAAAGACGTCCTAGGATAATGGAGATGGGTACAGTTACTGTTATAGGTAATTTAATGTATATCTGTAAGCAACGATAAACCATTGCTAACGAAAAAATGATTCTGAATGCAGTTCAGTTGATAGTGATGCTTTGTCAACAATATATATGTCATATTATGGTACAAGTTTTTTTGCATATTACGTATACATTTAAATGTTTTAATTTGTTTTTCTAATTGTATATACAATTATTATTTATAAATTTGTTCCACATCACAAAACTTAAAAATATTTTGAAAAACAATATAATATTACGTTTCCGTAGACCATTAGTTGATTGCTAGGTACCTAATTCATTACATATTTGTTTTTTTATCGTATATTTTTTATCTTATCTACTTTGTCTAACATTATCGCCAATACTACACGGATTGACAATTTGACGACTGTAGTTCGAAGTATACATTCGGCAATAGTTAACTTAAGTATATAAAAACGTCTCCATTTTACATAACATTGTTTGTGTTTATTATTATACAATGCCAAAGTGTTCATGTCTTTTTTCATCATTAATGTTTTGATTTTATAATTTTACAATAAATAAACAGCTGTAATAATCGAAAATCATTTTGCATATTTTGTGTTTCTTAAGTGCATATTTGAAATTTTTAACTGCATATTTTAAAAATGTAAATGCATATAAATCCCCGGTCTTTAAGTAAAAAAAAAAAAAAATGTTAAATAGTATAAAAATGTACCGCGGTTTTTGATATCAGAACAAATTTTTTATTTTTTATTATTCTTAATTCAATTTCTTATCAATTAACAAAAAAATAATCGTTTTTAATGCTTTTATAGTAGATAAAATAAAAATATATTATTAAAACCTTTAATATTTCTAATGGGTGCCCGGCACCCCTAAATAATTTCAGTGGGTGCTTGAGATTCCGGACACCCGTTTACATGGCGCCTATAATTGTAATCCTGGTTAAAATATTTCTAGGGACTTGAAATGTTGACAGAACATGTATAATTCATTTTTCTAGACGTGATTTTAAATATTTAAGTTATTTTTGAGCTTATTGAATTATTTTAATTTTGCCACAGCATCCAGCGATTCTCATATCGCTTACCGATAATAACCAGTAAACAAAATAAAATAAATAATAATGAGTTGCCTTGTTGCACCTGCCGCACTTGTTCAGTTCAATTTTGTTGCTAATGGTAATACGTTTTTAGCTAGTGGTGTATATTTTCCTTTTATTTTCTCTTATTTTATTAATTATTCTTTGTCTTTTGAAATGCTTATGAGTACAATCATTTTCAAATTAATAACGCACTCTACCCGTTCGGTTCCTTATTGTAGACCCCATATTTGTTAATGAATCTAGATATACAAATATAGATAGTGGTTACGCATAATATATTGGCTAATATATGATGAGACGATGTTTGCTAGAATAATGGGTGTGGGTTGTGGTTGGTAATTAGCACCATTCTTTTGATAGGCCGGTTACATGCGTAGTTGGTGGTACCCACATCTAGGGACATGAAAAGGAAATGAAGACCCTGAGTAGAAGGAAGGAAGCTTAAAATGTACATTCGTTTTCTTACGAATGAATTTTCATTTCCGGTACATTATATCCTACTGCAGTTTTCAGTTTGGACACCCTGTTTCGAGTACCTGACACAAAATGATTTTATAGAGATAATAATATTATTGCGAAAAACAATTTATGATACCTAATATTCGACAAGGATTTTACTATCCGTGAATATTATTTAATTACTTACACAGATATTTAATTAAAAATGTTTAAACTTAGGTATTTATTTGACTTATTAATTATTATGATGGAATTTATAATGTACAACAAAATTCATGAACGAGGATGGGGAATACATGATAAATTTCAGAATGTTTCTCAAGTTTTCTGGAATAATAATAATATACACTTAAATATTTTAATCTATAAATTAGTAAACTGTTTTACAAGAACATCGTATACGGTATATTATTAACACGTACTTTTTCTAATAACAGATTTAATGTATAAATGAATCACGGCACGGTTGTACTTTTTTTCTCAGAAATCATATAATTTAAATTGTTTACGTGTAAATAATTTAATTTAATGTACGGCTTTTCTATACACACACTTACATACCTATAGGATTTTTTCAATGGACATATATTATTGTCACAATGCATTCAGACAATACTATAAAGATAAAACACAAAGATGTAATTAAAACAATAATGCAAAGTGTAGATAAAACTGACTGAATTAAATTTATATTAAACAAAATAAATTAAAATACTCTTTTAAATTTTCTAGAGAATTTGGCGCATCTTTATTTTTTTTAATAAACTTTTCCGCATATATATCTTTAGAATTTAATAATATGTTTTTACAAACTCGAAGTCGGTGTAAATTTCTATTAAAAACAAAATAATAATAAAAAAAGCCGGAAAAACTTTGTATCATGGTATACCACTGTTATTGACGTGAAGTTGAGAGGGTATAGGGTATCTAATTTTATTTACAATTTTATATAGTGAAAGCAATCATTGTCCATTGCAACTAAAAACTGATTATAAGCGGAGCATTATCCGTGTTATTTTCGATTATAGCTGATGTGACCCAGAGATGTACTTAGTTTTTTTATATGTCCTTAGGGACAAGTATGGAGTAGACCTTATAGGCTTTTGTAACTTTTTTGTGCTTATTCTGTAAGAAAATATTGGCTATCCAGCTGGATACAAGAAAAGGATACAATCTGCATTTTCTCACTCACCGTGCACCTGTAGTATATTATACAGAGATTGTATCCTCTGATACACTTATTAAATCATGGCAATAATGTGCTGATATTGTATCTATAAATACACATATTATTATTGTGAATTTAATAACTATTTTATTTTATTTTATAAGGTTTTCATTTATTGATTTTTAGTTGTAGTTACAGATTTAGTTACATATGATACATGTAGTGGGTATCTTTACATAGGTGTACGCATTTAACAGTAATAGTGACATTTCTAGCAAATAATATACAATAAAAAAATAAAGTGAAAACAAAATTATTAAAATGGTTAATACTCGTAAGTAAATATATAAATAAAAAATGTATATATAAAAATAAAATAAATAAATTAATTAATGCGTCGCCTGGAGTATTATGATAAATGTATTAAATGACCGGATGAGTCGCGTTTTACATTTTGACTGATATACCTGATGATGAATTTTTAATTCGAAACCGGTCGTATAATACACTTATCATGATACTCCAGGCGACGCATTCATTTATTTATTTTATTTTTATACATACATTTTTTATTTAAATATTTGTTTACTTTATTTACATAATTATATACTATTAATAGTAACGAGCCAGGCGAATGGCAACAAATTACCAACGTCACAATTGTACATCAAATACTTCGGAACACATAAAAGTTTAACCCATTTTATATCTTTGTAAATATAATCGTATGCGGTTGTTTAAAATTTCTCAAGACTTGGCCAAATATTGGATAGTACTGTTAGGTAAAAAATCTGAACTTGAAACGATGAGGTCCATACAATTCGCTTATTCCATTAGGATAATTTCTCCGTAGAATTTTCGTATTATCGTGTATTAATGTTGTGGTGTTTTTTTTTTGCTAATTTATCACGCAATTTATTTATTGAATATTTTTACTCTTTGTTCCGACAATTTCGCGGTACGTGTTTAATACGATTATTCGTTACTCTGTCTTCGTTTTTCCGCGTACATACTCCGATGGGATATTATAATATATTATTATGTTTACCCGCCACGAATCGACCAACCGACCTCAGTAAGTATGAAGGATTACTACAGTTGTGACATAAAACACGTCAAACATGTGGTAGGTAGGTGATAATAAAATAATAATTTAACTTTCTCGGGGGTCAAGTCTAGCGCGTCAAACAAACAAAAAAAAAAAAAAAAAAAACAAAAAAATACATTATTTTGAGAGCGGGGTTCAAATAATATTCTATGAATAATCTCTTTTTTATTTGCCAGCCACGAGAAATGTGTGTTATAACGCGTTTAGTGCCAGTGTTGAAAAATATAAACAATACCTGTTATATTTATTTAGATAATAGATACAAAGATATGACTAAAAATTTATCAAGGGTAAGAATATGAGATAATATTTTCAGTTATCTAGATGACATAAAACGATAAAAAAAATAATACCTTAATAACATAAACATATATAGGTAGGTAAAAAAAATAATACATATATATTTTTAAAAGTGATCGTAGATTGTATATTTCTTGTGAAAATAAAATAACTTAGGTGATTATTTCAAAACATTTACTATTAAATAGATATTAAAAATACTATAGCCAGTGTTGGTACCTATACTTCTTTATTCCCTGTTTGAACCGACATCACTGGAGGATGTGTGAACATTAATATCCCACTGTTGCCATCGTTTATTGAAAAATAAATATTATCCAATATGTATATAGTATCAGAAAGTGTAAACTAATTTCTCACTTAATACCTTTAAAAATTATATACAAAATATACAGGAAGTCCGTGCTGATGATTTTCTTCACGACCAGGTTCGCAAAACCAGACGGTTTTCAGTGCCATATTTTATTTTGGTGGCACACAGAACAGTATAGGTAAACCTGTAGGTATTAGTTAAGTCACCTATTGAAATGTTTTTAAATAAAAAAAGATCAAACTTCAGAGTAAAAACATAGTATTATTAGTATTAATAATTTACGATGTATCTATTTGTGAATTGCCAATACTATACAGCGTGATTACAAAAAAAGAAACTTTTAGAAATGACGATACAATATAGGTATTTAGTAGGTATCTGTATCAATGTATTTATAAAGATAATTAAGAAGACGAAACCAAAACTTATATATTTTGGTTTCATCTTGATAATAGATAGTCCGTCGTTAGATATTCAAATTATACAATTTTAGATAATCTAGATAATTCCGATACTGGTTAATTGGTGTTCATGTATTTTAGGATTTTTTTTTCGGAGAATCACATCATGCTGAAGTGAGCAGTTTAGACAGTTCCTAATATTTAAACGGGAATATTATTCAAATAAAATAGATAAATATTATTGGTTTCATAGTCAAGTTAAATTGATTACATTATTAGGAGTATCAGGATAATAATCGTTTGAATGTTTAACATCGTCGAATCCTCTACAAACAGTGAGCTGAGCTTGTACGTGATGACGGGACTGACAACATTATTGTGACTATACGGTGACTAAAAACAGCAGCTGTTGGTACAAATTCGAAATAATAAAATTTAAGTATTTTCGTACGTATTGGACAGTAGCGTGCGGCGTATACCATTTTTGCCGGCCAAATAGGTTTGTTCGGTATAACGATATTTGCGACAAGTACGGTCGGGGAGCGATAACACGATTACGCACACATATATTGTGATATTTCCATAGGCACTCGAGGAAACAGATTTTACAATCGTACATACTTATTTGAATAAAATAATTATTATTTATTTTCGTGTGACTTATAAGAAGAACGTGAACAACGATAAACAATTAAATATTAATTAAAAAACGGCGATAAAATAATAAAATCTTTAATTTTAACGATATAACGATAAAAAAGAGCTGATACTGGGGATGGGAGCCTTCATTGTTGTAGTTGGGAAGGTAGGATACATAAAGGTTATTTCATTTATATCTGTAAGCAACGATAAACGATTGCTTGACGAAAGACGATTCTGAACGCAGTTCAGTAATAGATAATTTGAAGTGCCGTAATTTTTTTTGCGATTTTCGTTTAAATTTGATATAAAAATACTTACTAAAATAAAAAAGTCGTTCGATGATTTTGGAAATTTTATCACGTCAAGATAACCGTTGTCAAATAAAATTGAAAAAATGAAAAATAATCTTCTCAGTGCCCTAATTAGATTGAAAATCTTACAAGAAAGTTCCTATAACGTTTTTGACTCGATATCTGGTAAAAAAATTGTTTACAGAAATAAACAAAACAGAAACAATTTCTTTTTTTAGGGGGGGGGGGGCTGAATCATGGTGGCACCGACGCATCGTATAGTTGCTTGAAATATTATAATCTATTTTAAATTTAAAATTATAAACGAAGATTATTTTCGTGACATTTTTAAAATATTCTGGCGATTTTTCGGCTTTAGACAATTGACATTTTCGAGTTTTTTAGTTTTTATTTAGTTTCAAATAGACAAAGTTATTTTGGCACAACAGAAATTATTCGCTTGAAAATTATATACGGTATTTACCGTTTGAAGTTCGAAATTTAATGTAAATTATAAACATCACCACGGAATCTAAAGACTATATATGTTGTTTCACTGAAATTTCGTTCAAAATCGTATTTCATTAACAATTATTTATCATTGCGAATATGGTAAATAATGTACAAAATTAAATTCCTACTTAACTATGCATCCTAGAGTGGTCGGAAATTGGGCCACATTTTATCCACCTGCTTCGTGAACAATATTTTTGTTCATTTTACTACCCGGATATTGGTCCACAAATATATATAACACACAAATCTCTAATTTTAAATATATTGAAATATATAATATAAAATACAATATAAAATTTCTCAAATATTTATCAATTTTTTTGAATAATTCTGTACAGAATGCTTTGCACAATATTCAAAAGTGCCGTCAACATAAATACTAATGATCATAAAAAATTTAAATCTGTAACCGTGGAAAAAATAATAATATGGTTTAAAATAATTTAAAATAGTCATGTTAAACAGTGGTTTGCCTTTTGTCAAATCTAAAATATAATAAAATATAGTGGGCCAATCACAGGATTCAATAATAAAAAAATCGTTTGAAATAGTGGCCCAAAAAATACCCGGTTTATCTGATATAAATGTAAAATTTTAGTGGCCCAATTACCGAATTAATTTTTAAAAAAGGTTTATTGTGGCCCAATTCCCAGACGCCCGTATCCTACCTTTTCAATTTCCCATTAGTTACACCGGTGGCACACCCATCAGCAGTATTAGCTATTTTTTTTTTTTTTGTGTTGTTATAAACGTTAAAACTTCTATGTAATTGTTCTCAATCTTGGTTTTCCGCGGGTTAAGACAGGTATAATACACGGCGACACGCTATGTATATATTATAACTGCGTTTGGGTACCGGATAGTTTATGCGTTTTCACGGTTTTGCTGAATGGTCCGAAAATTGGATTGGTTTAGTATTAAATGTCCACACGTACCTACCTATAAAGGTTAAATTATATCCTAACGAAATGAAATAGATAATTCGTATTTTATACCGCGATTTGTCAATTTTGAACATAATTTAAGTTTGTTGTCACGGTCTCTGCAACCTATAAATAAATTATCTCAAAAAATTATTTAATCAAAAAAATTAATTTTTTAACGACTTTTATTTTAAGTTTATGATAAATATATAAAGAACTAGTTGTCCCGCCCGGCGTTACCCGTACCAAAATAAATAATAGATTAATTATCATTGTATGCTATTACTAAAGATACCCACACAGGACAGGGATTGTATAACTATACGTCTATATACACTATGGAAATTAATACAAATGTTTTTTTTTTCATCCGTGTTACCAAGATAACCCAAAAATCAACAAAAATAATTTGATTTTTATACTAAAAATATCTAAAAATCGAATTTTAGGGCAGGCGGTGGATTTTAATAGCTATGAACCTTCACCGGATAACGTTGAACATATTGCAAAAAACAGTATAAAAATTGCTCCAGTAGTTTCTGAGATTATCACAGACATCAAAGTGTCACTTTTTTTTATATAAAAAGATAATGGGATAGGACCGGATTGAACCCGAGTATAGCCTTAGGCACGTATTTTTATATAGTCCGTTTTAAGATATTAAGGTCATCTCAGAAAAAGTTAAGACATTTTTAACATTCAATATTTTGTTTACATAATTTAACATTTCAGTAATACGACTTTATGTGACTTTGTATATATACGAGTACTACAAGTAGGTACAGTCTATAGTATAAAGTGTATTATTATTAGTTTACCAGTTACCTTGAACCTAAACCTTATTATAAAACAAATCTATAGTGCTAAAAAAAACATTTTTTAATTTGTCCACATAATTCAAGTAAATTATTTTAAATTTAAAATACCTTTTTTCTTGCTTTTTGTAAGCTAAATTTGTTTATCAAAATTTCTAAATCAATGTTTTTAGTAATTCATTTTAAATTGTTTCAATCGTTACAATAATTCATTACTAATGAATAATTGTACATTTATATATTTTACAACGTTGTTTTTCACGTGAAAGTTTAAAGAACAATAAATCTTTTACGGAAAAAAAATACTGTTAGTACAAAATAAAAGTAAATTTAAATTTTATAACAATACCAGCAAGTAGGTTGATTTTTTTCGTGTTTAAGGTCGCGGTTCAGAGAAATTATCTTGTGAATACATGAATATAGGCACAAAATATTATTGAATGGCTTACATTTATTATGATTTTGTAAAATTGTATTATTTAATAATATAATCATTATTTACTTACCTTTTTACTTACCTTCATACAGGGTGATCTTTTTATCATAAATCAGCGATTTTCCTGGAGGATTTTAAGTGAATTTGATTTCTATTTTTTCAATCATTTATGAATGTTAAATAAACAATCACTCCGTCAATATACGAATGACAAACTCTGTTGTTTACTTTTAAATATTATTTAAGTTTAGTGTATTCGTATATTACATATCTAATCGATAAAATAGTATTTAAATGGTTAGTGGTTACTATTGGTTCTGTGACGCGAATTTTGAATATTAAATGAACACACGAAAACTACTTAAAATAATTATTTACTCAGCAACAGTTTTTACGAAAATTACTTGGAAAATCTAAAACCAACTTTTTTTTAGCATTAAATCCAAAATTGAACATAAAAAGGTTAAAAAAATAAAAATTGTTCAATCACAATATTAATTTCAAATATATGTTACAGTTAAAACCCGAAATCCGTAGAGACTAGTTTTAACTAAGATCTTTACCGATAAAACCTAATTTAACTTATTTTTGTTTAGTTAGAACTAGTTGTGTGAAATATATTGGTAAAAACTAGAATTCTCTAGTGAAAATTCGTAATTTTTATTTTGATAGTTTAAACTAGTTGCGTGAGACAAACACACATGTAGGTACAACGACTATAACGAAGACAATGAGTAACTGGTGAAAAAGACATAATAGAGAGTTATGCGATATAATAAGATTAGCATCAATAACAAGGCAAGTTAAGGGCCAAAGGATTCAACAGTTATGCCACATAATGATAATAGGGGAGGCAATGGAGTGGAAATATCAGGAAAAAAGATCTATAGGAAGATCCAGGAAAAGATGGATGGAAAAGAGGAATTTGAATAATCCGAGAGTGGGAAAATTGGAGAAAGGTAGGTAGGGTTCACGCGAATATTAATGCGTTAGGTGTACAATGTTGGTCTATATTATAATGACGTGTACGAGTACTATATTTTTGATGTTTAAAAGCGTACCAAATTTTTTAAAAAAATCACGTAAATGGCAAAGATCGATTATAATATTATTAAAATGTAATTTTATTTTGACATTTTATGTTAACGTCGGTGTGACATTTTATATCGAGTACGTGCTATTCTTAAGTTCTTTTACAAAGCTGTATACTATTATACGTAGATACCTATATATGGTTTGATGTTCGACTTTTCGATTATACCGTGAAATTATTTACGTGTAAAATATCATCGGGACGAGGGGAAAAAAGTGTCTATACACATCTATAGAACTTTTGTTTAACTCCAAGCTTGTGGATTGTGGAACCATATACAAGTTGCACTTAATTTTGTATGCGTATTTTACGCCGTTGTAGGCTGAAATTCGACGCGTATAAATTTGGAAACAAATTTGACTGAGAATAATTTCTTGTTATAATCGTATTATTTTCTATATTATTCTAATAGTCTATTTTAATATTACTTAAAATATTACATTATATATTTTGTTAAAATGTAAATATTCGTTTATTTTGCTTTCTTAAACGAACCAATCGAATTTGTGAATAAAACCGGATAAAATGTCAGAAGGCCTATAACAATAGGATTTTGTGTAGTGCACACAAATATGAATGTGGAGCTTAGGGACTAATCTATGACATTGTTATACATTACAGTATTCTAATAACTGCTGTGTACTGTATAATATAGATCGTATGTATGGGCCGTGAATTGAAATAAATATAAGGAATTAAATACAGGAATTGAATAAAAGACACAATGTTTATTAAATGGTAGTTGTTTAAACGACTAGAAATCGTGAACGAGATAAAAACAAAGAAATTAGGATTGTGTGGAGGAATCAAGAATCAATGGTAAAAAAAAAGTGAAACTTGAAAACCCAAGGATCAAAAGAACACTTGGAAGACGGTGAATTCGTTGGAGAGATTGCGTTAAGAAGGATTTGGCAGTGGTCTTAGAACTCGAATATAGGAATTTAGGCTGGTGGGAGGTAGCAGACGATCGAGAAGCATGGAAGACTATAATATTATGTTTGAAAGGAAGACCTCAATAGCTTTAACGAAAACGGCAAGCCCTATTTTGTATAATAGGAATAGTTTTTTGTTGGTGTTATTATTATTAACTTGTAAAATTCACTAAGCTAAGTTCAAATACAAATAGACAATTTCAACATTAATCTTTTTGGATATTTACAACATAGTAAAATATAATAACTCAGCCGTAAATATATCAGAACTTTTAGAGTTGAATTTTTTATGCTTTGCCATTTTTTACATGGAGTTTGTTAAGTGTTTCTTTTTGGAATATAACTTATTTTTATTTTTCGTTTATGTATTTATATATTGAAATTATTTTTAGTCGACAAAATAATAATGTATAATTCAATTTATGATATAGCAATAGGCTTCGAGTACCATGGCTAAATAATATTATTTAGTCATGACAGTTGCGTGCGATTCGTTTTAAAGCGTTAGAAAAAAAATGTCTAAAATTGTGAGAATTTTCGAATTTGCTATACTGTTAAAATTGTTCTGAAATTGCAACTTGTCCTTCTACCTGCCATTTTTGGTATCATTTAAGTGTCTTTATAATTACAATAATTATAATTCAGTCATTAACCTCTAGATTGTTTTAACAAATTTTTGGTTTTATCGAAAATATTGACGTATATTTTACTTATTAAAGGGTAACTTTGGTCAGCTGATTATAAGACTTAAGAATATGTACTATAGTGCTTAGTGTGTAATAATCTAACTTTGTTTGTGAAGCGCCGTAGGGTAAACATTAAAAATCAAATCAAACAATTTTTTTTTTGTGTGTTATTATACCATTACTAGATTAATATAATACTTAAAATTGCACAGGTAAGTTACTTTAAAAAAACGTTAACTGCCTATAAAATGGTCTGTTTTTTTTTACTTTATTCAAATATATCATTTTTAAGTACTCTACTAAAATGTACAATTAGAAGGTAATAAACAAGATAAACTACTTTAAGCCACCTCACATAAGTTAACCATTTAGTTGTAGGCATTAAAAATAGGAAAAACATCTTATTATAATGAAAAAAAAATGATTTTATTTTCAGCTAGGTCTTAAAAATATAAAAATGAGGTAATGGCCGATTAATAAATTAATATTTCTTTTGAAAATCAGTGCCTCGGCTGAGTCGAGTTGTCGTTGCATATATAGTCGTTTTACAACGTTTTTCCGAAACCAATTTCTATAGAATGCACGTATTTTATTATTGTTGAATTTACCCTGTAAATGGAGATTATTGCTCTGTATTATATTTTGAGCGAGTATGTTTTTTAGATTTATACACCTCTCAAATGAAGTCAGTTGGATGCAATTTTGTACATGGATGGTATAAGTACCAAGGGTGTGCCTTATGTAGGTTTCAACAATTAATCCACTCTGATACCATTTTTATACTTAAATTGCATGTTTTCACAAAGAGTACCAGGGCTTAAAAACCCTTATAGTCTAAATTGTAATAAAACTTTTTAACTATAACTATTTTAGATCAATATATTATGGAAATAAACAAAATTATTTTTATTTTTTATCAGCGACAAGTCGGTTGGGGGAAAATTCGACTTTCGTGACGGAACTCTGCAGTTCACGAGTGTTTTACCAATTCTATAGATGTGTATAATTGAATTGTATAAACTATCTACTATTATTATTGTTATTATGTTGAAGACGGACAACGAAGAAAACTGCGATACTACAAGAAAGGGTTATAATATTATGGTCGGACGAATATTATTCATATCGCCGTCGGCATAGTCACAACGATAGCGTTGTCGGTCGAAAACATCCCGTTGAAAACCTGACGTTATTACGGTCAGGACGTATAATACGCAAAACAATGGTTTTCACGAGGAACCGTCCTAAATCACTTTTGTCCCGGAGGCGCAAACTCGCACGCACTACATAGCGGCAAAGGAGAACAAAATTTCCTCTTGCGACCAACTAAATCGTTACTTATACACACGCACAAACACGAACGTATATATTATTATATAATATAATGGAATGGTAAACGGGAATGGGGAATAAAAATAAAGGTCAACGCAGTCGTCTTGTCGGGTCAAACCAAGCTAAACTTTAAACGAAAAACACCGTCTTTGCCGTGGCAACAGTCTGAAATAATAATAAAACACGGTTCACCTATAATATAATACCGGAAAAATATTTTCAAGAAACATGAAACATGTGCGCCGTACGCAGTATTATAGCTGCTCTTATACAGCAAAAACGCTTATTTCCGCTGTAAATTCCATCGGCATACCCGCGAAAATAAATAAAACAATTTATAAAATTATGTTTCAAAAGGACGCCACAAACGTATAATAATAAATATATGCTGTCCCCGTCTTGAAAACACACAATATAGCAGATTCGCGTTAAGCGAGAAAATTCCGTAACACAATTTAGCATTGAAATACTAAAATATGTCCTCGAACCAGTCAATCATAGTAGACTAATCGGACGTGGCGCTGAGACTATAGAGATTTTGTAAAAACGCTACAGGGATGGACAATTTAGCGCTGTTAGTTTTAATATTAAAATGAATTGACCAATTATCAAACTCGAGGGTACGACCATTATCCGTGTAACTGCGTCGATGTTATAATAATTTCTAACTTAGATGTAAGGATTTTTAAACTGTGATATCTCACACGCTCGTTTATTGCTTAACATTTAAAATATCGAAAAAAGCCGACGCAGTTATATACACGGGCGATATTTTCGTCTTTGAGTTTTACTCGGGTCAATTCACTCTGATGTTAAAACAGCAGCACAAATTTTTGTCCGGCGAACGCGATGTATACGTTTGTTAGACGGAGACTGTTAAAACGAGTACACCCACAACCTCTTAACGGTGTCTATATTACGAAAAATGCTCTCGAAAACGACGGTAGCACGGCGGAGTGTATTGAGATTTCGGTTTAAAAATATATGGTCGCAAAGTCAAATCGACGACGACGGTAAAAACTGAAATGGAATTGTTTCGGTTTTCGGTTAAGGCGTCTACTATACTGGGAGCTCTAAAAATACCGAAACGAAAAAAGAAATACCAACACTCGTCTCTGTTTCATCTCTGTACGGAGCAGCGTTAGGTATACGCATGGTATGCATCTATATATTATAATATATACGACATCGATAGCAATTACGTGAATGAATTTTCAACGGCGGCAAATCCGCGTATAGCGAATAACTGCAGGTACCCGGATATAGGTATGCGTGTGCGTATACCTGCAGCTATACATCGACGGGAAATGGGGAGAGACGAAAATAATACAAGAAGAAAAAAAAAAGACGGGAAAAAAATTGCGCTCTGCAGGCGAAACTCGGATAAACGGACGTTCGTGGGGTGAGGGGTGGGGGAGGCGCGTGTGTGTGCGCCGTTCGCTCGGCGAAGTATTATAGGTACGAACTTTTTTTTTCCTCTCCCCGTCCGCCCGATAATAGAAATCGCACACTCGTCGAATAAACGACACAGGCGGACGGGGCAAGCAGGTCTGGGGGATGCGTTCGGGCCGTACATAACAATAATAATATGTATACCGGGCCCCGAGAACTCGGAGCCGTTTTCGGAGCATTCCGCGAAAATTGGTAACGCCGCCCGAACACGCTCGGCCGAATTACGACAACGCAACGGCGACGTACTGTATACGCGTGTGCGCCTAGTGTAGATACTATGTTATCATTATTACAAACGTACCGTCCCTCATATCGTGTTATACAGGGCGGTTCTTTTATCGCGAACCGGCGGCCTCCCGGCACGAACATCTAGTATAACAAATTAGAGTGTACGTTTGATTTTTCCGCGACGGCCGCCACAACGTCGTTATTGTACTATCATTCTATACAGTACGATGAGCGGTGCACACGAATCGCCACCCGAATGCAGATAAGTACATGTTTTTTTTTTTTACTCGAATCGCCTCCGGGCGTTTCGTTTTGTTGCGGAATAACGCGATATGTAGGTAGTTTAGTTTGAATGGCACGTGCAATTTGTTTAAATCATACACAGTTTCCGTTTTGATTTTACACGGTATTTTTAATACATATGATTTTTTTTTTTTTTTTTTTTTTGTGTATTGTATTTAACCTAGCAATTATTACCCATTTATATCGATTAATCTGGCCTGATATCGGAGGCGATTCAAGTAACTATTCGAACTATTCGGCACGCAATTCGAGTCAATAGGTACATTTTAAATTGGGAAATAATTCGAGTAACCTTTTTTTGAAAAAAATGTACGGGGGGCTACTCAAGGGATTAACGGGAGGCGATTCGAGTGTACCCAATATGAGCGCAGCAGCGGCGGGGAACGTGTCGGTTTTACAACTACGCGTGCCTTTCCCCCTTCCCATCCTGTTTCGATTTTCGAGTGCGGCGTCTTTTTTCATAAGCAAATTTTGGTTATTTTGGCTTCGGTGATATGATTGGTGGTGATTTTTATTGATTTTTTCAACAGATTTCTGATCAGATTTTAATTATATTGGAAAAGACCGGATTGAGTAAACATGATTAGAAAGACCGGAATAATTTACCGATATAACGGTTCCGTTATTTTCAACGTTGTTTTCTTTTATCGCAATTCGGTTTGAAATAACCGCAGAATCTTGAAATTTTCGTTGAATAGGTATTTATAATAGTAATATTTTATAGACGTGGTAAAATTTTTAAATAATTTTGGTTACTTTTGAGCTATTTATGAGTATGGTCGAGAATTTTTTTGGTCGCATATGGATACAATAGGGTTTTTGCTCTACAAAAGTTCACATATATTTAATACGGGATTCAACATACGTTAAAGGTGGTGGTAAAATGAAGTTGAACGAAATGTAACAGGTTTTTTTATTTTTAAAAGCGTTCAAATGATGTAAGTTATAAGTTCAAAATTTTGACGAAACTCGTTTATTTAAAAACATGTTTAACTGACCTTTGCTGAGAATGTTTTTCATTAGCAATGATTTATCTTCAAGCATATACCTCGTTTTTATACAATAGTTTGCGATCCTTTCTTGGCGTACTGTTGTCTCCGACTCACAAACGCACGACTTGTTTGACAACAGGTCAAATTTACAGTAATAATATTCAAACTAACGTAAAAAAATAATATTTATCTCTGCCGAATGTAAATTTGTTATAACGTGCTTTTATATGTGAGTATCGTTTTTGTTGTTTGTAATTTGTTCCATATATTAATAACCCTATAATATCAACTATCGATTTCAAAATAATAATTAGCAACCCAATTATAATAATATCGGACACATAATGATACACACTGTTTATGATGTAATCACTGCAGTATACAATTTTTAATCTCGTGAAGTAGGGAGGGGTTAATGGATATTGTTGTCATTTGAAAATCAATACAGAATAACATTTGAACAGTGAGAAATTAATTGGTTCTACATTGGGTTTAACGCTTATGAAAAAAAAACTATTGAACTTAACCTTTTCGTATACATAGATGGTTTGTAATAAGAATCACCCTGTATTTGTTTGTGCAGCGAGATCCGGGAAAACAGACACGGGGGGAGAAATAGAGAGAGAGGAATAGATAGTTTTCAGGCAGACAATGGCGAACGATGTACGCGATTTACGGTACCCGAAACGAGCGGAAAAACGTGGTCAGAAATCTACAGACAAAAATACGAGTATACGACACACTTCGAAGAGCATAGTCGATAATAAGTTGATTGGAGAGCCTCTATTTTTTCGTTCAAACTTACTTAAAAAAAAGAAGGAAGTTATGTATTCAATTCGTATTTTATTTTTGTAATGGCCCACAAACCGCAAAAAAGTCATTAAATGAAATAAACATAGTTGCAGTAATCCATTTCTGTTTTTAAAATTATTTAACTTCGTACACTCCTTATTCTTAATATTGTAAATGAAAAATGTTTTTATTTTTTTGTCATTTTTAATACATTTAATGTCATTTTAAGAAAGAAATGGTTAATTCATCATGTAATTTAACTAAATTAATAAAATAAAAAACTGAAAAAATATTTCCTACAAAACTAGACAAGAATAATAATCAAACATAATCAAAGCACTTAAATATGTTTTTAAAATTAAAATCAAGCGAGCGGTAGTGAATGAATTTTTTTCTAGATAATCGGTTTAAAATGTCATATTCGTCTGTAAAACCGACCTTACCATTTTCTCTTAAATCACTAAAGTAGATTAGAGGAAAATATTTATCATTAAGGAGGTTATTAAATGGTAAAAAATAACTTTTAAGTATTATTTTTCAAAATAAAATTTGGAAAACCGTTTTCAATCCCCTTAATTGATTCAACTAAACGATATGTCTGTTGAAAGGTCGTCGGAATATACAGAATATTTAAATTGCGTTAGATAATGGAACATGGTTATAAGATAAGTATATGACGATTGCAACATATTTCCTATATTATAATAGATGCTTTGTCACTGGCATAAATTTAAATCGCGGAAAATATGGATAAATAAAAAGCGATAAAAAAAGAAACACGGTTATACTTAGCACGATGGGTGGGCCACTGTTGTAAGTGAGAAGTTGATAAAGTAGGATATAGAGGGGAATTTAATGTATATCTGTACGCAACAATTAATCTATGCTGAGGAAAAACGATTCTGAACTGAGTTCTGTTATACATGTTGTAAAAGGTCAAACTCTGAAAAAATCAAAAAACGACCTTCCTAAAGTACAACGTCAGTCAGATTTTCTTTCCGATGAAAATCGGATTAAAATTTCTAGCACAGAAGTTTTTTACAGATTAAAAAAAAAAAAAACACTTGTAAAATTAATATAATGATACTAAAATGTCAAACAGCAAAATCGGTAAAATGAAACGTTGAATCCAATAGAAATTTAGTTATCAACGCTTAATTTCGGTACAAGATTCGAAAATAAAATATTATCAAACTGTTGAATAATGAAATGCACTATAATATTATAATAATATTATCATTTCGATTGAATATCGCTGCATTTTGAATAACACGCCAATTCGTACAGGTACATTTTAATACAACGAATTTTTTCCATGTTCCTTTCCTAACCATTCGGTATTCACTGGAGATAGCGTGTCTACTCACATGCAACAACCCTGTATCGCTGCCGAAAAGGACGGAACTGGACGGACGACCAACAAAGTGCTCGTACGGATATATAATAATAATAATAGTATAATTATTATTACTATACACGCGTGTATTGCAGGCTGGCGATTCCCTCACTAGCTGCAGTACGTACGGCCGGATGAGTCCCGGAGAGAATTTGAAATTTAATAAATTATGAATAATTCTTCCACAGACCATTTCATACACTGCACATATTATATACCCGTATCCTCCACACGATGGGTCCCACTTACTAATTTAAAGTGGCGCGAGGGTAATGGAGTTTTCGTATACCCGTACCCGCAGTTTTAAAATAATAAATCTTCCGCGGAGCAGTGCGCTGCGCCACACACGAGTGTACTTTGTTAATTGTTTAAAATATAATATTATTATATTGTTATAACGGACAAAAATTATTAATCGCGTCCAGTTCAAGACTATATTATTATCATGTTATCATTATTATTATTGCAGTCGGACATAGAACGAGACAATCAAACAAAATTAGTATACGATAACACTATATTATACGTAATGTTAATGATCAACTTAAAAAAAAAAACAAAAAAAAAAACGAATGTACCTACGGTGGATACCCGCTGAATATGATTCGTATAATTAACTAAACGGTACAGTTTTACTTTTTTAACTAAACTCGTTCCAAAATTTACCTATTATCGTAGTAGTCGAAATTACCCTTCTTGTATCCTACTCATAAGTCGCCAGGCCTACGATATCCAATGCATCAATGTATCAATCAAATGCATGGTTTACTAGTACCGCCCTTCTATTTTGAATACTCTAATACTCCAGCCGTGTTCCGTTGTTCCCTTTGTCGTTTACTTACGAGTCACCAATATTATAATCGCAATCACTTTTTGGATAGTAAATCGAATAATACTTCTGGGAAACCCGTCCACCACGTTTATTTAACCACAGCTAATCGTCGGAATAACCATTAGTCGTTTTATTCCGTGTAACCAAGGAAGTCCAGAAAAAAAAAATCAACAAATTTAAAATTTAAGTTCCAATTAATATAAATTGGTATGTACTAGAATAACAAAATATGAACTTCCCAAATGCACCAACTATAGGTAGATCAAAAATTCGATCAGAAATCTGCCTTGATAGTTTTTGATAAGAATAAGTCTATTTTGGTCGAAACCGCTTTAACAGATAGGGAAAAGATACACATAATTATAAATCTAAATACATGCTTCAATCTGCTCAGATTGTTTGGAATATAAATCTTTGGTTAGTTTAACTTAAATTGTTGTAAATTAATATGTTTTTTCGATTTTCTCAGTTAATTTACCTACTCGTATAATACAAAATGTTACTAATATTTGACGTTGAAAGACGACTAGTTGTAGGACAACACAGGACAACACAAGACAACACATTTTGTGTTTACAATTTCTTTATTCGCACGAATGTCACGTGAATCGATATTACATTGCTATAGTTTTTCCATTTCATATTATTATTATTTAGTTGTACATACGAGTACAGTATGGTTTTCTATGGAACTGTTTTAAAGTGGCAAGAATCGTAATGCACAAACTTTGTTATTTAATATTTTACATATTTGCTCTCGTAAATCTTCATGCTGCGTTTGGTATAATAATATATGTTATATAAACAAATTTGAAATCCTATATCACACACATACTTACTATTCATTCAGTGTTTATTCGCTTGTTAAATGTACTGGCACTGTATACGTAGGTATACAGTATACCTTTTATAGATACAATTAAATTATGCACAATAAACGGAGTGTTCTACGTGGATTTACTAATTTTAAGTGGCCGGAAAACAAAGAATTTGCTCACGTCGCGTTTTTAAAAATGTATTTATTTGTTTGAATAAATGGTATAAATCTTTATACAACACTATTATATTATACTGTGTATTTACCTATCATTATCTTTATATCCTTATTAAGGAGATATACGCGTCTTTCAAACACCGATCCATTTACACGTCTAGTCTATCTATCCGTAAAAAAAAAAGGTTTGGAAGTTTTAAAATTATTTTCTTTATAACCATTTTATTTTATTTTCTTAGAATTTAATCACCCGTACAGAACAAAAAAAATGTAAATAAAATAAACTATTATCGTTCAATCGCTTTCTATACGTTTTTAAGCCCGGACTCCAGAATACGAAATAAATACCAATGCTTTCTGATATTAGTGTTTATAGCATATTATCTATATGCCTTTTTCGCGTTTTTAAAAAAAATATAAACGATAGAATTATAACAATAATATTACTTATATATTTTTTTTATCAGTTTTTATTTGTTTTTTCCTCGACAAAGCTTAACTGTATGTAATATAGAGAATAATGTTCATCTCTTTTTTATTATCTTGCCGGGCAATAAAATAATAATATATCCATGCAATCAATAAACGAGATGCACAAGAGGTGTTAAATTGCAATAATTTTAATAAACAATAATAACATAGAGTTTAATACGAAAAGATGTTGTAACGTTTAAATTGTTTAATTTTCAAATGTTGTGGTGCCAAAAATTGTAATTAAATCAAGACCGGACATTCTTGGAATGGTGGTAATGTTGATTGAGGATATTATTTTTCTTCTTCGTATAAATATTATTTTAAGTAGGAAACAGTAATAATGTATTTAAATTTGATTTAGTTTTGACTAATGTAGATATTAGCATTGTTAGTTATATAAACTAATATAAACCTGTAATTAGTCATATTTTGAATTTTTCGTATAAAATCGTGATTTTCATAAGATATGGTTAGGATTTCATAGTACACAACAATTGATAAATATGTGCTAAACATATTATGCAATAATGATTTGGTTCAAAAAACATTATTTTATCAAAACAATTTATAATTGACGTGTATATAAGATGTGTTGATTAACTTTTATACAATTATAATACAATTTTTCTAATTTCATGGTAAACATTTGACACTTATTATTTAAATGTTTAATTTTTTAATGACAATGTTGCCAGTTTCATCTTAAAAAGTAAAACTGTTCATTTCATTTTCATTTCTCATTTAACTTCATTTTCAATACCAAGGAATTTCAATAATTAATTTAAATTAATGTCGAGGGAGGAATTTGGAAGACAAAGCAATCCCAACGTCCTGTATAAGTAGGTGGCAGTTATGATTACTAATGAATAATGAATAGATCATTAAAAAATAGTATCAGCTGCTATTAAAAGAAAGTTTAGTATAAAGTTCCTTAAAAAGTCCGCAGTTCTGAGGTGTCATACTGCAGTATTTATATAATATTTTGGAATTACCCCGTCTCACCCTCCACATATAAACTTACCCCCTTGCTGAATCAAATACCAGTAAATGCAAACTATTTAAACATTCAGACTTTCAGGATCATTAAAATTTTGTCTTTTATTCGTAGTTGTCTATTAGTACCGAAGCTAAATTTTTTTTTTTTAGAGGGGGCACTTTTCATTTTTATGTAAACTACTATTTTGTAATACGATAAAAAATACACCAAAATAACTAAGAAACAAAAAGAGGGGTGCACGTCCTCTTACTTCTCCTCCCTCTCACTTCTTTCTGGCACTAGTATCCACTATTCAGAGTGATTAAAATTCCCATTCCCGAAAATTCTGTGATTTCGAGATGTCACTGTAAATAGGTATATAATATTCTGAAATTAACTTATATAGTCATAAAATTCAACTTTTCAATCATTAGGTAGGTAAGGCATTAGGTTAAGTTAAGCAGAGTCTCGGGTTTAATTCCAGGTGGCGACAGAAATTGAGAATACAATTTTTTTTTTCTTCTCATATTTCCGTATTAACTATTAAAATTTGTTTAGTAGTAAACTATTGAAATATCTAATAGTTTGTCCAAAATGACTATTGGAGAAATATTAGTAGTTTTCCAATAGTTTTTTTTACTAATGGACAAATGTCAAATATTAAAAAGATATGAATTGTTCGTTATTATTATTAGTTTTCAATTATAAAACAATGTTTGCAGTATATTATATTATCATTTATATATATTACATTATCTACTTATAAATGAGAGTCATATTTTCAACTTCCTACCTGTGTTATTTTACTGTAGGAATAGCGTATAACTCAGCTATGAATACAAGTTTAATAAAAAACAAAACTAAACTAAAATCCGGAGTTTAATATGTTTTATATATCTATACTTATTATTTCAGTTTCCGAAATGTTTACCTACTTCGCAAACTCCATTCGGGCGAAACACAATTTCAAAACTTCAATTGAGCTAGAAGCCAAATACCTATATAATTTTGAAGTTTTATTTTTCGCGTATTGATTAAAATAATTTCGCTCGTTGGAATTATATTCCTCCCGTTGGCAAAGAAAAGAAAATTATCAACTAAAGTAAATAAAAAAGGTCGATTCTACTGATGAGGGTGTTTCACTGTTTTAGGATAGAGGTTGGAAAGAAGAATATATAAAGTGATTTAATTTATACCTATACGCAACAATAAACGATTCTGTGTATTTATTCTCTTATTGCCACGGTAATTAACGAAAATTACACCAAAAATTAACAGTTTTTTTTCATTTATTAAGATAACAAAAGACAAATTGAAAAATGACTTCATTGATGCGTCAAACAAATCAAACATTTTACAAGAAAGTCGGTATTATGTTTTTGATAGGAGCAAGACTTTTAATAGACAATTTGCTTACAAATAATATAAATAGTAAAATCATGGTAAAATAAATACCTATACTTCTATTGCTTCGATCAAAATTGAATTGCAAATCAAATAATATTGTTTTTTTTTTACATGCGCGGTACACGTATTCTAAAAGAACAATAATTAATATTGTATTAATTATCCATTTATCTGTGTGGCATATTTTACAATAATTGCGTAAAACTTAAAAACAGATTTATTGAGGGAAGGAAGTTCTGTAACTTGGATTGTTCGAAAAAATTATAATTTTTGAGGGGGTTCCAAATTTATATATTGTTTTAGGGCTCCCAAATGTTTAATTTTGTCGTTGGCTTGATCGTTTTTACCCGTGTATTATTCTAATGTGTATTAATCTGAACAATCGCTCTTTATTTATGTAAACAAACATTATACTGGTAGGTAAGTATCTAATATTAAACTTGAAAATTGTGTACGAAAGTACAACTCTCGTACACAATTTTTTAGTAATTACATTTTTAGACAATGTAGATCCAAAGCATTAAACTATTTATTTTTTTATTTACGACTGTAAGCTAGTATAGGGTAGGTAACAAAATAAAAATACGTAAATAGTACTGTAGCATTGTAACTCATCAGACATAACGCGTGTTGAAATAATAATATAACCATGAAAACAAATATTATTATTTTAGTAGCGTGAAAAAGAATAATACTAATATAATAAAAATATGATACTAGGTTTATTTAAGTGCATAAAGCTATAATTCGTATGGTTATGTGAAGTATCTACCTATATAAAATTTTGGAGGACTCCTAATGTAATGTAACCCAGGATATAAAATAAATATTTGGGTTACATTTTGGAAATCTCCGGAATATAGTCAACGTTATTATCATGAAGATGTTAACTATAATATTATACACTCCACAAAATATAATCATCCAATAATATTTTGTTTTGATAAATAAAGAAGTCGTTTAACCTAACAACCCCGAATCTAGGGTAAACCTGTAAATATACCTAGGTAGGTAATAAATGTAATATTATGCTTTGAATGTTTCGATAGTGTATCATTAATATGAATTGAGGTTTCCATTTTTAGGGGAGAATTAAAATTAAACTTTTAAACAATATTTAAAAATCGAATGTTCGACAATTCGAGCTTTCAATTTCACTAATAAATCACGTTGATTAACACGGATGGCAAAAATATTTTTTTGTTGCACTTGTATATTTTATTATGTTTACTTGCTTGACCGAATTATATGCACAGAAGAAATTAAATCTCTTATAAATCAAAAGATTAATCGGTTTTAATTGATTTTGTTTTACTCCAAGCCATGCCTGTAAGACACTTAGGCTATTTATATTAGATTTGAATATTATAGTTTTCAATTGCTTTGAACTACCTACACTAAAAGTTAGTAGTATATAAGTAAATTAGAATATAATTATCACTATGTGATTAATATCAACAAAGTTATTTTGGTTTTCAGAAACCTTTTGATGCAGTTGTTTGACGATTTGTTAGGCCATCTTTGTTTTTTCACAATATTATAGTCAATATTGTTATATCACAATATTATTTTTCATTGTATTATAGTTATAATTTATACATTTAATATAAGAATATTTTGGAAGTTGTTTTTTATGTTTATTAAATAAAAATTATTATGTTTATGTGTTAATTATATTATACCATACTTGGGTGTCCTTCATTTTAAATTCAGATATCTTGTTGTACTTAGACTTTTTAGTTTTTGTTGGGTAACATGCAAAAAATAAAATAATATCATGCTCCAAAAGAATGCACGACCTATATTTAGTCTGTCGGTATTTTGATGTTATGATACTTATAAAGGTATATGACTTAAAAGTTTATCTAGAACCATCATTATCGTATTACGTTTTGAACAGTAGACGAAATTTATTAACCGGTAATTTTCTAAAAGTAATTTTCTAAAAGTTTTTCCACGCACAGATTCAAATCAGTAGTATTATTAGAGGAAGTCAATCTAGGTTTTCTTTACTCATTATTCTGTGTTCGCGAGCACAGTGCAGTTATTTTGGATTTCTAGTGAAAGGTTAAGAAATATTAAGTTACAAAAGTGCAGTAGATTGTTAAGGTCATGAGAAAATTGGTTTGCGAACATTTTCCCGGAAACTATGCAGTCGACCTACTTTTTAGGAAATTCTACTTGGAAAAGATACTGCTGTTGTCAGTAATAGTTCAACGTCTATATTAGTTATCCTTACATTTTTAATCTCTTTTCCTTTGTACAAAGGATAATTTTAATAATATCCTGAACTACTGTTTGGGCTGGGTGCAAACAACAATAGTTCACCTTACCCGGACACCGTATACTTCGCGCGTATAAATATCAAACGGCCGACCTGTCTACTTGGTATATAAATATGTATAGAGCAACTCCAATGAAGTGGACGGGATCGCCGAGCAAGAATGGTGAGTTCTAGTGTGTAATGGGTATGTAAGTGTGTTCTTAAGCCTATAGGCACTGAAGGAAATTAGTGAATAAATAGTAACATAATTTTTAGTAACTACGTATTTTGTATCTTTTTATTGTTGGTAAGTATACAAAAATATAAAAATGTCCTAAGATAATAGGGACGGGTGCAGTCACTGTTATAGGTAATTTAATGTATACCTGTAAGCAGCGATAAACTATTGCTTACGAAAAAACGATTCTGAGCGGAGTTCAGTTGATAGTGATGCTTTGTCAGAAATATATATGCCATATTATAGTAAAATAATTATATAGGCTTTTTATATTTTCTTTAATAATATTTGTTTAATGTTGTACCGATTTTTCTGGTTTTTCCATGTTTTCTCCAACTTTTCTCATTTTCTGGGAAAATTCCTGAGAAAATTGAAAAATGACCTCTTTTTAGTCGGAGTTCTTTTTAGAAAAATTGCTATCTTTACATGCTGGAGTAAAATTGCTGGTAGAGAAGTTGTCCACAGGAAAAAAGAAGATCATATTTTTAGCTAATACCTACATTTTTTACATTTTCCCGTTTTTCCAACGGTTTTTTTTCTATTTTTCACATTTGCTGAGAACAACAATTTTCATAAATTTTAATATAAAATTACTCACAGTACACGGAACGCAAGCTGACCAGTCGCTTACCTAAACCTAAATTAAAAAGTACACATCACATGGAATAAATAATAATACACAAGAATAATAAGTACATTGACTAGACAACTCGGTAACGATTATAATATAAAATGGCTCGCAGTAATAATACGCAATAATACGTGCCCGCAGTCGATCGGCCGGAACACAATTTTTGGCTATAATTGCCTTACGGTATTGCTATTCCCACAACCTTCACAATAGAAGATACTACGGCTACAAGACCTATCAAAAACAAAATATAAAAGCTATTACAGATAAAAGTCGTGCAAAACGTGATGCGGCGGACGGAGGAAAATGAACAACAATGGTTTAGCAGGGTCGTCACCGGCATCACCGTACACAACTTATATCAATCGCGATAAAAATTGAACATTAAAATTAACCTAATCTATTTTACTTAATAACTAACATTGCGCGCGTGTGTGTATGTGTATTTGGCCGGTAGGTAATTATTATTGTAACCTTGAAAAGGTCAATCATCACAGCCAATCGATACGTGCGTACTAACTGGTTTTAACATCCTTCCACCGTTGAGAACAACGAGTTTCATCCTCCACATTTGTCCTCGGTCAAATGTGTGTTTAGTTTGTTTACTACTAGTACACAAACTGGCGAACTATTACAATAATTATTGTTATATTTATTCGGCGTGAAGACGTTCGTGCTTAATGTGATGGACGGGTTAGGCTCAGATAGTTGTACACCAAATGTGTTTTTAAAGATTTCGAAAGTGACAAGCGGAAGCTGTTGGTTTTACAATGATGTATTTTTTTTTTCTCTGTTATCGCACTTTCCGAGTAGAAATACTACCCTTTTGACCTGTACTCTGTATATTATATAGGATTTACGTGTTATAAATCGAAAATTGAACAAAGATGGTTCTAAAAAGGGAAATAAACTACTGCGGTTACGTAGTGACGTATGAAAAAAGTCGTTTGGAATAAAATATTTTCGGCTTAAACAATCATTTTGACAAATTTTGCCGTTTTTTTTCTCATTATTGAATCCGTAGTTTAGGTTTTACAGATTTCAATATATGAGAACTACCGTTACAACATGGTAAAAATGCAGCACCAGTCACGTTTTTGTGGGGAGGGGGTGGGGGCAAATAAAAAAATCTAAATCTTCGTACGCCGTATGATGTACAAGAATTACCTTGGCCCGTTTGAGGGGTTAGAATAGTTGAAGTAACCGTATGTAGAAAAATATATCTAGCGAAAAAACTCTTACACCTCGTAGAATAGTTAGATTTTGATGGTTTTTTTTTCTCCGAAAGAAAAAAATTTTTTGTAGGTTACCCTAAATACCGAGTGGTGTGAGGGAATGTATTGATAATGTTTATTATTTTTTTTTTTATGTAAACAAATTTTATACCGGAAATTTTGCTCCGATTTTGAAATGAAGAACTTTTTCAAAAAGGAAATTTGACTAGGGTGGTACCTTAGGGAGGTCAATTTTCGGTTTTCATGGGGGTTATCATAGTAAATAGGAAAAAAAACGAGAAAATGTATGAAATATATTACTATTTTCAAGTCGTAAATATTACGGCCTTTTAAAACACGTATCATAGAACTCCGCTCAGAATCGTTTTTCGTTAGCAAAGATCAATCGTTGTGAACATTAATATATTACTGTACACAATAATAATATAATATATTCCATTCTATATACTACCTTCCTCACTACCCATCTACAACACTGGCCGTACCTGTCCCAGTATCAGCTTTTTTTCTTCTTGTGTACATCGAAATTATTGAGTAGTAGGTACCCAGATTATTATTTTACGTGTACATATGATATGAAATAACGAGGTTTCTTTCTAAAGGAAACAGTTTATTTAAATAATATCTTGAAATTTAAAATGAAAATAAAAATATTCTTCTCAGTACTTATATATTACTTACGTATTATTTGCGATCATGTTATTAAAATGATATATTCATACATGTTGCGGAATGTTTGAAAAACTAACCGTAAATAATAGACTGGATTAAAAAATACAATATTATGACTTCGTGACTAGTGCATAATGCGCTGTGTTTGCTGAATATATTGTGATGGCTATAATCAGTTGTAAATAACATTACAATCCATCCCTGCAGTCCTCAATAAACTCTAATTTTTGAGTCAGCTGTCGCGTGAAACATATACGACCTACCATTATCATTAATAGTGGTTGACATAATATACTTTAGTTATATAGTTGTTCAAACATAATGATAATAATCAAGTCGTTTTATCTCGTATGAAAAATTATTGTATACAAACTTAGCTCGATTTACTAAGCTCTGTTATGTTATATTACTTTTCAACACGTATATTATTAAAATATTATTTTGTTCTCTTGGAAAAAGACCACTCAAGGTAAACTTGAAGAATAGGTATATTTTTTTAGCAAGGTGAAACAATTTTGGGTAGGTACCGAAACGCCTTTTTTAGTTATTAATAATTGAATCCTTTCTGTAGCGGATGGTTAAGTTAGTAAGTATAATGTATATTCTTTATAACGCCCAGAGCTTTCATTTTTTGTTAAAAGAGTTATATAGAATTGATATAATGACTTTTGAACTTTTTACTATAATTTTCATAATTTTTCCTCTTTCTTTTACATTCATTTTTTTGACCTTTCAAGATAGTTGGAAACTCCCTCATTTTTTTTTTATCAAATAGATATCTATTGAATATGAGATTTGTAACATATTTTGAGGTACTTCTGCGTTTAATAATTATGTACATTTATGTTATATTTTAAAATAAACATCATACAATAATAAAAAAACTCATTTTTAAAATTAAATAATAATACAAAAATACTTTTTCTTAAAACGTAACTATCTACGGTTATCTGTAATAATAAATTATTATGTTATCATGATAAATAATATTAATATGTTTAATATAAGAATGAAAACAGAACGCATTTTAGATTTTGAGCGCAGCGAATGTCTAGAGTATAGTATCATTTCTGAAAGGAAATTTTGTCTAGTTGGTGTATTAGACAGGTCATTTTTTGATTTTCCAAGGAGTTTTCGAAATAATTGGGAAAACCCGAATGAAAATTATAGGTAAAATGGTAAATAATTACGGTATGCCTCGGCGTTGCCGATTTAATTGTTTTTAATTTTTGCAACTGTTATGTTTCATACAAGAATTATTGCTCCAATCAAAAAATGATGAGGGATCAAATTTTTTCCTTTTTGCATGTAACCACTGACGAAGAAAATCGTTTTTTGGTACATAAAGTATTTTTAGTTTCCGACCGTAGTGAAAGACCTATTGGTTTTACAATGCTGTTTATTTTTTTATTATTTCTTTCTTCTAGTTTGTGGACACATTTTTCCCTAGTAAACTTACTCCATTGTATAAGTATAGCACTTTTTTAAAAGCTCAAGTTTTCTAGCTTGTACTTTAAACAGGTCATTTTTTTTGATTTTCGACGTCATTTTTTAAATAAAAGCACTTAAGCGGAAAAAAAACGTACAATTTCACGATTTCATGATTTTATAAAAATACGGACGAAGCTTTCTACCAGAAAATACCTTTTTGATTTACTTTCTTATGGTATCATCTCCAAAATTTTTAATCCATTTTTAGCTTTGAAGGAATTTTAATTTTTATGAGGTTTTTGCTGTAATTCGGTTATTAATACACATAGAGACTTGAAACTTGGTAATAATACTTATATTGGACTTACCTAGACGTGGTAATTTTTATTCTTAATAAGCGTTTTGAAATCAAATTGTCTTGGAATCGTCTTTCGTTGTTGTTGAGCTATTTATAACAATTTTAATTGTGCTTTAGTTTTTTACTTAATTTATATATAATTAAAATGTTTCGACTAAATAGAAATGCTTGAAAATTTGACAGGATAAAACGATTGTATTATAAGTCGTAATCAGTGATCAAAAAAAAATAAAAAGTGGAACGTAGTATTTTTTTTTTTTTTTCAAAAGAGTTTTAAAATCAAATTTTGAAATAAAATGTAACTACTATGGCTATCAAATATGTATTAATGAACTTCGCTCTGAATCGTTTTTCATTAGTATTGATTTATCTATGGTTACTGGTCTAAATGAAATAATTTTATGTATCCCAGCTATTCAACTACCCATCTATAACAGTGGCCGCATCTGTTCCCAGTTTCAGCTCTTTTTAATCACTAATAACAAGTCTATTGAAGCTAGGTCATATAAGTCCTCGTTTTAATCAAGTTACCTCTTTAAGTTATTTAACCCACTTAAAACAAATAAAATTATACAGTCGTAGAACCAATTAATTTTGCTTAGGTAGTACTAATATGTATTTAAAATGTAAAACTTCGCTTTTTGTTAGGTAGGTGCTTTGTTACAAATAGCAGAAATAAAGACAAAAGAGAAGAAGAAAAGTATTCTGTCACAAGGGGTTTTTTTTTGCTGTTTTTACGCTTTTTGTCATCACTTTATATATCAGAAAAAATATCTACAAACGTATTAGATAAGATGAAAACTATTCGTCTGTATTTTTGAATATTTATTGATATACAAGTTTTAATTAAATTATTTGTTACATTTTAACAAAAAAATAGTAATTCGGATTCCGAAAATATATACCTCTAGGTATTTATAAAAAATAATCTCTATAAAGTGTCAGCAGTAAGTAACGATTTCTAGGTAATTGTTAATATGTTTGAAAAGGATAATTTACAGTGCTAATGCATTCCATATTATTAATTGTACATTTTTCAACGATATCCAAAAAAAAAATATATATTATGTATAAAATTCTCGTGTCACATGTTTGTGGTCGTACTCCTTCGAAACGGCATGACCGATTTTAATGAATTTTTTTTTATATATATTTGGTAGGTATGAGAATAGGTCGTAAATTATTTTTCACCGTCCTAACCTCACTCACTATTTTTTAATCACGATTTTAGTATTTTCGTTTTTATATATACACGAGTAACACCAAATAATTTAGCTTATAATATAATAAATACAATTTTTTTTTCTTGATTTGTGTTATCCCGGTAACAGAGATGAAAAAAAATGGTGATTTATTATTATTAGAAATTAGTCGGAAAATATCATGTGATCATTAAAATCGGCCAGTCGTTCTTGAGTTATAAATGGTGTAACTAACTCGACTTTGTTTTATTTATATACGATTTTTGTTTATTAAGGGGTTTCCACGGAAAAGAAAACTATTATAATTATTATTATTTTACACTATTCAAATTTAACAATAGAACACATTTAGTCCGCCGAAGGTGTACCACCCACTTTCACCTATTTTTTTCATTCAATTCTAACACGACCAAAACCAAAAATGAATATGGGTAAAATAATAATAATACAAATTGGCACGGGCAACGCCGGGCGCGGGACAGCTCTAATATATATATATATATATTTTATGTATAGATTGGTTTGCTGCATTGATATATTTTACTGATCAGAATATCCGAATACCGTGTTTTACTGACCGAAAATTGGTTATACGTGAATTATTTGTTTAAGTAAACAGTAAATACCAACATAACCAAATTTATACGGTCATGAAATGTACTTTCTTTTTAGCAAACCGAAGTTTTCATGTGACATTAATGTCGAGAAATGATTTATGATATTTATGGAAAACGCGTATTTATCGTTAAGTATAAAAAACAGAATATTTTCAATTTATAATTGTTATTTTAGTCTGTTGAAAAAGTAATTGTAGATGTTTATCACGGTTATTGTTTGCGGTTTTTTTTTTGCACCGTTGACAGGTATGGGCTAATTTAAAATCGACGAGACGATTTTTCTACCTGCAATATTCTGATGACTTCAAATCAACTGCGGAAGATTTATAATTATAATACAGGAACTTAATTTACAGAACTAAATTTGTAATTAATAACTATATGACTAGGTATATTATTATGTTCTCCACATGTAACTTAAATTATAGTACCTATTATATTTTGCATACCAACAACATTATTTCTATATTCTTGATAATTTAATAATTTACCAAATTATTTTTTCTTATTAGTATAAGTTTCCGTATAACCTACCTAAATATTTTAACTTTTTGTAGCTAAAACATATTTATCTATGAATTTATATCAAGTGACACGAGAACATACACTATTTTTAAAGTCACGGGGTAATATAAACACCAGTACCCCACTACTTTAAAGTTGTAAATCCTCGAGGGATATCTTATATATTATACAACGTTATTTTCGTATCTGAAATAGAAATAAGTAGAATTGTTATGTATTGTTTAATTTTTACTTTGATTAATATTAAAAAAAAAAAAAAAAAAAAAAAAAAAACAGTGAACGTATTATACATGTTTTATATTATAGGTTATATAATATAGGTTCCTATAGGTCAATTCGAAAAAAACTGAAATGCTTAAAGTGCATAACAAAGTAATTTTAGTTTGGTACACTATATTGAATAGTTAAATATTCAAAATAATCTTTAAGATTCTGAGTAAAGTGGAGAAGCTATTAGCTTAAAAAATATTCGGTTCGTTTCAGAAATCATTTTTACGGGGATTATAGAAACAGTTTCTTTAATTCTGATGGTTTTTTTTTAACCTGTTTGGTTAGGCAAATGCTCCATTTTCCATATAGTACCTACCTCAAATGATGCAGTTCCTTTCGGTTCAGATTTTATTTAATATATTTATTGACATTTTCAATAGTTCATTCCCAGGGCTTTTTTTGATTATTTGATTATTGTTGATTTTTGGGTTATTTTGAGAACAGGGGAAAAACATGACTACATACTACTCCACTCAGGTATTTTCTCACCATAAACCATAGAATAATTATAATGACAAAACGACTACGATTCAGCAGATCTCCATTACTAGAGTCAAATTACCCCCACCTGTTTTGTATTATAGAACTTCAAAAAACAACGAATAACCGAATACTATAATAATATAAAACAGTACTAGAATTCTATCTATTAAAATAAAAGATCTATTCAAATTATACTATTTCCAAAAAAAAAAATAAATATGAAATTTGATCATTAGAATTTTAAAATTAAAACCCCATAAGGAATATTCTTTAGATGAACGATATGCACAAACAAAATAATTTCAACTCCCTAGCTACATTTAGAAAGATGTAGGCGTATATAAAAATAAAAATGAAATATGACTTATAGTACTATAAATATTTTATATAGTATCGGTTTTCGATTGCAATAATGTATTGTCGTTTTGGTATACTAATTAAATTACCCTATATTTTATATTTTTTAAACCTTTCCACTATAGTTAGTGGCTTACCCATGGCATGAAGTACATACTGCTTTTATTTTTACCAGATTTAAAATTCGTATACATATATATAAACGTCTGTTAAATATTATATTTGTAGTAGACGAAGTTCAACTCAATAATATAAAGAACCGTTTTTGAATTCAATATGATTTATCATTTAGATTTATAACACTGCGGGACTGCGTGGAGATTATCGAAGCGAAGCGAGAATCTGACACCAGTAACTATATTGTTATCTGTACTCAGTCTGCGTACTTTTAAATATTTCAGATGGCGTAAAAAAAGTCACCCTTACTAAATGTGATTTATACTATTACTTACTTAGGATCATAATCGTGAGTTTTTAGTATGTTTCTTCGTAAGAAAATAACGATAAAATACGATATAGTATTATCTATATGTTCAAAATAAACATAAGTCTCCTGACTATTGTGAATATTTTTAAAAATATTGCCAATTTTAACCAAGATTGTTTAAAAAAATAATCTATAAGTATCTTACATAAAATTAAATGTAACTTAAATAGTTCAACTTGTAGAGATAATATTACAAATGCTCTACTCATTTCATCTAACCTGACCTTTGTGGCAAAATTACATGAGTATATCTATTATTATGTATGTATATATATATATACATATATATTTATTATATAAAATAGCTGTTCTAGAATAATGAGGACGGGCGCAGCCACTGTTCTAGTTGATAATTTGGGAAGGTAGTGGAGGGGAAATTTAATGTATATCTGTAAGTAATGGTAAACCATTGCTAACGAAAAAATGATTCTGAGTGGAGTTCAGTTGATAGTGTTAAAAACACTTTGTCAACAATATATATGTCATATTATGGTAAAATAATTACATTGGCATTGTATATTTTCTTTAATAATATTTGTTTAATATTGTACCTTCGGGTGGTGCTGCTGAGTGCCTGCCCACAAATGCTAAATTCTGTTACTTTATATTACATCAACTATCAAATTTGCTCATTATACATAATGTTGTATAGATTGTAAATAAAATTGCTTAAAAAAAAAAAAAAATATTGTACCTATATTCCCGTTTTCCTGGTTTTCCGGTGGTTTTTTTCGGTTTTTCCAATTTATTGAGAAAACTCCTAGGGAAATCAAAAAATGACCTCTTTAAAGTGCCATGTCAGATTTTCTCTTAAAAAAAGTGCTATCACTGTAAAATTGCAAATTTGCTTGTAAAAGTTGTTCACAGATTAAAAAATAATAAACATCATTGTAACACCAATACATTCCTCGCTCTGCCAGAATTTAAATTAATAAATGAAATTGAAATGGATTACATTATAGGTCTGCATCTTCAAGTTTCATAACACGAAGGCTGGAATATAATTTTTTTTGGTATTTTGAACTTAGAAGATACTTCAAAGAAGGTCAATTTGTTAAAATTATTTAAAAATTACTTTTCATAATAATAACGACGAACAAGTGAAAATGACATATCAGCTGAGATGATCAGACGGTCGCATATAATTATGATCGGCTGGTCTATGGGTCGAGCTTGCCCATTGCGTGACAGGAAGCAAGGAAGCATCTATAGCTATATTCTGAACCTTAAGCTGGTATCGTGTTTCGAATTTTTGGATTGAATATTAGATTTTTCATCTTGAAGACTTGCTCCAATCGGAAACTTTAAAGGCACTTTGTTTTTACGACATTTTGAATTTAGATAAGATGAGATTAAGATGCGATACGTTACGTTTCAATTAAACTGTCGTAATATACGTATTATCAACATTGTGACATAATGCCCGTAACGGTCGTCAATATTTCTATTCGTATAATATACTTTTTTAGAGATATTATAAACAATTGTATTTGATTATGGGGTTTGGATAATTGAGTATATTAAATAGTGGGACCGTTAAAACCGAGAAAATTCAGTGATATTCTCCCCAGTTGAATATCACGGTGGCCGAGAATTACTGATTATCCAGGATAAAGATGGATCGCATAATATTGAATTCTATATAAAATGTAAAAAAAAAATAATTTTTAAACACCTTTTTTAAAAATCGATACTTCTTTATAGTTTTTATTAGAATTACAATACAAAAAAAGATAAAAGAGTAATGACGTGAAATGAGATAGAGTCGTCATGTATTTAATTTTTCAATTTCAAAAAAATAAAAATATTGAACGATAAAAATAATAATATAATGAAAATCATAATGCTAGCCTGTAAAACACTATACAATACGCTTGGAGTCCGGTGCAATTTTTTTGCTTTTCTTTGAGCCACGGTATTTTTTATAGTATTTGGTTAAAGGCTTTTCATTAATTTGCTACAGTAAACAAAAATAATAATTTTTTTATTAATACAAGTTTGAACGATTATTGACAATATTATAGGGTATATTGGCAGTAATTAATAATTATAATTGTATGAAGGATGCGATTGAATATTTTTTTTTATGTACACGCCGTTTAATGTAATACATTTACGGATAAACGATCGTACATCGGCATTTATCGTACTTCCCACCCCGCCACACTACACTCTATCGGTTTTTTTTTTATAAATATTTTATACAATTTTATTACTATCATAGTACGGTCGAATGAGTTTTAAATTCCCAACTGAACAAATGAGCAAAAGAGCTATTCGTTTGAGAACTGCCAATAATACGGATATTTTTTGCAATCGTTGAAAACCATTTTTAGAAAAGTAAAAAGTTTCCACATGAACGTAGAAAAATAAAATCCTTAAACAGTATAAATCCGTCATTTTACTTAACTTCAATCCAAACTGCACAGAAATATATTTTATAATATCGTAAAAAAAACACCTCTATGGCTTTGCCTTGCGTGAGATAACAAACCCACGTAAGTAACGTCTGCTATTTTCATTTTCGCCCAATCAAATAACTGAAAAACCAAACAAATAAATAGAGTTTGACTATTATACGAGTATATATATATTTTTTTTGTGAGATTTGACGATATTTCTATTCAATTTTTACAATTTACAAACATATTGTTTAGAAACTATTATGACGACCTGCAGAAACGAAAATCGATTTTCTTTCTCTTTTTCTCTCACATCATACATTTGACCTCACGTCTTCGTGACTGGTCGACAAGAACTCTCCAGACTTAACTTAATAACATTTTTATGTTATTATTATTATTTTTTTAAACATTTATAGATGGCACGACGACGACTGGTATACTGTAGTATTATTTGTTTCGTTGTGTATCCGTACAACAATGTCGGTGTAAAATAATATTATAAAATATAATTAATTAAATTATGTATAGATGTATGAATAATATTATTATGAAGTGTACGAAAGGGAATTATTATGTAACCAGTCCACAGAGAATGAAATTGCTAAGAAACCAATCATATGAATACAACATTCGGTCTTTGTCATACTGGTTAAATTACTATACATTAGTATAGTATATCAAATGTATATACTATATACTTTTCATATAAATTATTATCCAAAAAAAGGTATAAAGATATAAATAAATAAATGAAAAGATTGACATATTTCGCACGATGAGTGTAGCCACTGTTGTTGGTTAGAATTTGGGAAGGTAGGATACAAAAGGGAATTTAATTTATATCTGTAAGCAACGATAAACCATTCCTTATGAAAAAACGATTAGAGCGGAGTTCAGTTGATGCTTTGTCAACAATGAATATGTAATATTATGGTAAAATAATTAAGTAGATATTATTTATTTTCTTAAATAATATTTGTTCAATATTGTACTGATTTTCCCGTTTTTATACGTTTTTTTCTTGTTTTTCCCATTTGTTAAAAAAACACCTGGAAAATAAAAAAAATGACCTCATTAAAGTACCTTCCCAGTTAGATTTCCTTTCAGAAAATGTGCTATCATTGTAAATTGGAGCAAAATTATTTGTAGAAAAGTTGTTCACAGAAAAAAAAAAATAAAAATAAAATAAACATCTTTGTAAAACCAATACTTCCTTCGCTCCACTTAGTATCTAAATTGAAAGTCATAACAATAAGCAAAGAGTTAACAAATGTAAATGATTACAAATTGCTGAAATATGAAAATATAAGTGATTTATTAAGAAACGTGGGGTTAACATTGACATTAGATATTATACATCTTATAGACTCATTTGATAAGTAATTGGTTAGGTTACTCAATGGGACAAGAAAAGTCGTAGTGGAAAGAGAGGTGTATTGTGGAACTTTAAAATGTATAAAGGATAGTAAAGTTAGAGAATCTACTCTATACTAGCTAAAAGTCTAGATTACTGGAAAACTTGAAACCAAGATCCATCACGAATCTATCGTAACAGGAAATTACAGAACCCTGATGATGATTAAAGAATAATAGGGGGATTCTGAATGGGGATTGAATGCCATCCATTTACATTCAGCTACATATATTATCATATTTTTGTACTTGTCACGACTATACTAAGTACTAATACTACTTATATCATTCTGTGGCCAAAAGTTGTGAGTGTAGCCGTGAATGGAATGTAGCCGTGAAAGGTGTAGCCTAATAAAAGTATTAGTTTAGTGAGAAGTCCTTTTGGTTTTTTTTTTAGAAAATACCAGCCTATATCGCTGCCGTTTCGTATTGTACCCGTACAAAGTGATCAGCATGATATTAAGGACATTCATTATCTCCGAAACGTATTACTTTTTTAAGAATTTGTATTTATGAAACAAGTTGATCTAAAGTACGTTATATTCTATCATCTTTATTTTTGGGAGTAGAATCATTACTCAACTTTGATTTTCAAATAGTAACCTATATTCAAAGTTCTATGATGAAAAATAACGGAAAGTAATGTAGTATTTTAGAGCGCCCTGTTTATTGAAATTTCTAAACAAATTAATACACTCCGAAATAATGCGTGCCATAAGTTATGTTTATCACCCTTGGCACCTTCGTTATAACATGCCGTATAAATTGACGGCTCATTTGCTTGCTTAGAATAATTTCGCCAGAGAAAACGAATTCGGCTGCAGTTTATCCCTACCCTTAACAATAAAATAAATTAGGTACATAAAACATTTCACAGTTTTCATTTTATACTCTTTCTCACAAGACCTACTTGATTTTTCATGTTTATTTGGGATATGTCCACGAACCTTAGATTACCATGGTTTTTTATACTTATGTTATGTGTAAATATTTATGAATTTATGATACTATTTTGTTTTCATCTTCCGATATATTCGACTGTACTCCAACAGAACTTCTTCAATATATCTGCTTATATTTCATTCATAATATAATATAACGTTAAACATTTTTTCTGAATCAAATAATGCAATTGTTTCAAAGGTTATTATGAAATACGAGTTGAAAATAATCAAATGTCTTTTAATTTATTTTATTTTAATTTACTGTGTCTTTTAGATACATAAGCGAAGCGATGAATACATTAGTTTTACTGTGACATGTGTTTTTGTTTAAAACAAAATATTTTGTCTCTAAATAACTTTCAGACCCAGAAATCTCTCTTTGGTGGCTGGTTTCTGGTAAAACAATGTTTTTTAGATAACCTAAATACTTTAAATATGCTAAAAATGTAGAAATCTAATAATGTGCATTCCGATGATGGTTTAGTTTACTAAAATATAGAAAAAAAAAAAGCATTTTGAAATTATATCAATGTATACTTGTATAATAAATATGTAACGTAACACTATAATGTATTTGTAATAGATGTCTATGATTTAGTTTTGGCTGGAGTAAAATCAATTTTGGTAACGATCTTTAACAGTGCATATATAGTTATATGCTTATGCACAATATATACTTTTAAGATAATGATGCACATTCATTTCTTAATTTCGTTTTACAAACGCTCGATAAAGAAAATTTGTGTTTGGCAGAACCGATTTTTTGCTGTTTATTTTAATATTGAAGAAAAATGTCTTTATGTGAAACTTAAAGAGAAGAACATTATTTGTATTTTATGAGTTGGTTTTTTTCTCGATAGGTATTATAGGTAGTTTTTAAACGAGATATAAGCATTTTTAAATTGTGATATTTTACACACTCATATAATCTCATTTCAAAATCAAAACAACCAAAGACCCAAAACATTAAAACTGAAAATGTTCTCTACTTTTAGTTTAGTAATAGATAAATTAGTCCTTATATTAAAAGTCTCAGTACAAAATTAGTTATGCTCAGTCTAAATTTACGCATGACGTCATATAATAATAGTTGGTCATATTTTTTTGTTGTGTATTATTAAGTTGTGTTTAGTAAATATAATTGTATAACCCTATATTGTTTACTATAATAAATATTATTTTATTCGATTTTCAGAACGGACAAAACGCGTGCTATCGTAAAATTTAAAATGAAAACAGAGCATGTTTATTGCGCTGAAGTAACAGTGGCACTAATAAAACGTTTATTTTCACGATCTCGCGAGATTATTATAAAATCGAAAATATAGTAAAAACATGTATGGAAATTCTCTACTTTTTAAAGCTTCTTTTGTATTTACAAAAATATAATATAAAGAATTAGATAAAATAAATAATAGCAAAAAAAAAAAAAGGTTCAAATACTGATATATTGAGAAAGCTGTTTTGTGTAAACCACTGGGGTGCTATTTATTATTTTTGATTTGAACACAATAATATGTTAAACTGTTATTCGAAAAACTAATTCTGAGTGGGGTTCAGAATTAACATTTTAACACTTGTTTCTTTGTAAATTCTTCTCGGCGTTTAAGAAAGTTTTTCTCGATTTCTCTGTTCAATTATTTTAGTACCATTTGAAGTTTTAAATTTTATGTCTTTTGTTACCGCCCTAAAAAATATTGTCCACGAAAACAAAATAAACATAAAATAGACGTACTGTATTAAAATATTAATAAATACCTCACTTAATCTGTTTGTTACAAATCCAAAAATATATAATTTTTTATTTTAAATTGAAGGGTTAAGTAACAAGCAGTTCTACAATTTCACATTTATGTTATTTTTGTCACTCTTGTTTGGGGGTTACCTGCTTTTGATTTTTAAATGGCAATCTACATTAAAAATTCCATAAATAGATTGAGTGTTAGTTAAAATACATTTTGATGTAGAAATTCCACTTTTAAGTGTGGGTCGGGCAAGTGTAATGGAGCACCAAATTTGTTCATCTTTTTATTAGTATAATTGTTTTTTTTAAATTAACATATATTTAACGATTATTTATTGGAATTTTTAATTTTAGTAGTTATTCTGATTCCATTAATAAATTTTAAATGGATGTCGTCATCATGCGTCGTATTTTTCTTGGATGACGTCGTGGGTGTATAATAATTGAGTTACGTTATAGAATTAAATTAAATGTAATACATATTTAGGTACGGTTTACGTTTGTGCTAAAAGTAATTGGTGAAACTTCAAAGGAGAGGATAGTTTGGCCGATGACCAGCAATCAAACATTCGACTGTGCGAATGAACTTTCATATTCTATAGCTATATGCTCTGTCGTGAATTTCAGTCAACAATCCTCACTTGAGTAAAATAATTTTTACAAGTATTTAGAATAAAAATGCGAATACCTAAAAAAATAGTATTCAGAATATCACGAAATCATATCCATTCAAACAATAGTATTTTCAAAATGTTTTGAATATTTCCCATAAAGTATTCAGAATATTTTGGGAATACACGTAAAAAGAAAGATGGACATACTTCATACGATGGGAGTTGACTGTTGTATGTGAGAAGGGGGAAATTCAATTTATATCTATAGGTTGCGTACGGATGTAAAATAATCAATATAAATCATTGCTAATGAAAAGCGATTCGGCGTAAAGTTTTTTTTATATATGTACGTATATTTTTTTAATTTTTTCTCAGTTTCTCCTAATTATCATGAAAGCTGTTTGAAAAATTAAAAAATGACTTCTTAAAGTATCAACTAGATACAAATTTCCTTTCAAAAAATTTGATACACTTGATATAACAGAGCAAGATTTATGGTGAAATGTTACTGATAATAAAAAAATAAATTAAACATCATTGTAAAAATAATACAATTATAAACGACATAAGAGAATTATAGTCATTATACATTATATTTTAACTATTAACTTTTAACTAAATCAATTACTTTCTGGTGGAGATTACTCAACTTTTAAATGAATGAGTAAAAAAATCAGTGAATTTTTTATCATCATCAATTTTTGAAGACCAAACCACTCTATTCCTGTATATTTCTTGCAACCTCTTTCATTTCATGGAACGATCGGAATTTCATTAAACCTTGTACTACTTCAAAGTATCTTTTTTTCGTTCTATCTGTAGTTTTCTTCCCTTGTATTTTTCCTTCAAATATTTTGTCGAAGGTGTTATTGTGTGGGATGATGTGACCTATTAACTTCATTTTTCTTGCTGTTATCGATTTCATTAATTGCCTTATTTTTTGAATTTCTCATAACGTTTCTCGTTATTTTTCCTCTCAATCTATCTTATATTGGTCATTTTTCTCCATATCCTCATTTTAACTACCTCCTACTTCTCATTTTCCCTTTTGTTTACTATCCAGGTTTCCCTTCCGTAAGTAGGTCTTCTTTTAAACAAAACGATTTAATAAACATTTTGTGAATATTAATGTTTAATTGTGGATTTTTTAGTAGTTCATTTTTGCTTTGTAAAACTTGTTTCGCTAGTTAATTTTAGACTTTAAGTGGAGCGAAGAAGCTTATGGTTTTATAAAGATGTTTATTTTTTTTTCTGTGGACATTTTTTCTACCAGAGATTTTGTTCCAACTTATAATAATAACAATTTGTCCAAAAGGAAATTTCACTTGCAAGGTACTTTAGAGAGGTCGTTTTTCGATTTTCTCTGGAGTTATCTCAACAAATGTGAAAAATCGAAAAAAAAAAAGGAAAAACGGGATCCATTTTAATTGTGGAATTAGAATAATTCGAATTTAACCATAATATTACATATATATTGTTGACAAAGCAGCACTATTAACTAAAATCTACTCAGAATCGTTTTTTCGTAAGCAGTGGTTTATCTTGCTTACAGTTATACATTAAATTACCTATAAAGTGGTTTAACCCATCCCCAATATCCCAGGACGTCTTTTTAAAACTGTTCGGAAAACAGTATTGAATACTAAACTTATGAAAAAATGTATATTTAAAATATTCATAATACTTTGCTTGGAATATTAACCGTTGTCTGTTATGACTAACTTGATGAGACAAAATAATTACAATTTGAAAACGAAGTTCTTAAAAGAGTATACTGATCTGTACATTATACGGAAATAGGGTACTATGAAGGAAGAACTAACGCGAATATTGACAAAAATTTCAATGATTAAACTTTCATGATTCAGTGGTTAGAAATCCAAATATAAGACATGAACTAGAGGAAGACTGCGTCAACGTTTTCTAGATTGAATTAATAAATACCAGGGAAATTAATGAAAGAACAAGTTAGAAAGAAGCGGATAACTGAGATAGATATAGTCAAAGCTTTAAAAAACCTACATGCAAATAAAAATTCAGTTCTTAATATTTTTATTTTCACCCTTCTGATAATCCTCATTGTACGTATGTTTGTGCCATTTGGATCAATACACAAAATAATGTAAATTATGAAACGTACATTTGAAGCAGTTAAAATGTATGGGTTAATTTGAATAATATTATTAATTAATGAGACTCCTTAGTTTTATTCCTATACGAATTATTAATTTGAAGTTTGATATTACTAGTTATTAAAGTACTAATAATTTACCTTATTTAATTTATGTTAAACAAAGAATCTCAAAATACACTTTTCATTATGTGAAAACCAACAAACCAACGTTATCAATTTTAACTAATTATCTAGTAGAACCTACTGTACTCTTATATTTATCAATCTTATGTTTTCTTAGCTGCCCATACTTTAAATTGTTGAAGTTGAAATTTGTACATTTCACTACGAGTTCTAGTATGTATTTATAGTCTTATAGATTCTGTGTTGAGTTTTAGTAAGTATAAGATAAAATGTATTGTTTTTAAATATAATAAATATTCGAGTATCATCCCGAGATATTGAGGGTGGGGGAGTCATGAGCGGATATTTATACAATGTAGAAATAATATTTTATTTTTATTTTCTTAAATGATAGATATAATGATTCATACAATTTCAGAAACGATTTCAAAGGATATGAAATCGTTCTATAAAAATTTAATTGGTAGGTAGTAATTAGTTAATGTGTAGTTATATAAATTTTAATAGCGTTCGATTACTAATAGAATTGATCATTATTTGACAATAAACATTTGAATGAAAAATACAATTAAGTTTACTATAAGCTAAATGCTTTCAGTTAGCATTTTGTAACGTTAATTAAGATTAGTGTTTGAGATATTTCGATGTTATGTGTCTACTAGGGGAAGATTATTTTTTCTCTAAACTATTATTCAATACGTTAATTATTGTTTTGTTTTTGTTTAAAACCATTATAAAGATAACTGTAAAATTAATAGATTTTTTTATTCATGGACAATATGAATTACGAATATGTCAAGTATCGTATATTATATACTACAGAATAGTGTGTTTCAAAGATAATTCACTGAGGTAATAATTTTTATTATAAATTTATTTTTAAACTGTTGGGAATTTAGAAAAAATGATCTAAATAAAGCACCAACGTTGAGCTCAAAATTTCAATATTTTAAGGTACGTACGGTGTGAAAGTTTTGGAGTATTTTTCTAGATAAAAGAAAGTGTATTGTGAGAAAAACCCAAATTTTAGTAAAACGAATAGCTTTTTCACTCTACTCGAATCGAATAAACACGATTTAATTATGCCGATGATAAACAAAAATAAAACATTTAAGATCTATTCAAATGATTACGCTCGTTTTATCTGATTACGGTTTAATACTACTGGTACTGTAGAAGTTCTCAGAAAATCAATAATATTACACAATTTATTTTAGGGATTTATCTGAATAAACATTTTAAAGGGGCTACTCGTTCGGCTTTCGGCATTCGATGGGCAATGACAATATCCGAACGAACCGTACCAATGGATTTTACACAACGTCGATTCCGCGACTTAGGACTGTAATAAGCCTCAATAAGTAATTTTACCAAGTCCGGCAGTTACTGAATCGATCTTCGTCCGTCCGACTGCGATACCTACACTATAAAGTCGAGATTTTAAAACACATCGACGTAGTATATTATGTTGTAAAGAAAAAAAAAGGACAAAAGAAAAGGATTCGTAGAAATTCTTACAAAGTAATGCAGCAGCAAATATACCTGGGTACAATTATTTTTACGCGAATGTGCGTAACGTATAGGCTGGAATAAAAAAACACGCTTTGTTGTTTGAACATTTTTTTGAACGAAAACAGTCAATACATAAAAACGGAAATCGGTCTACGTTACAACGACGCACGCATATTGATGTTCTGAAGGGCGTAAAATTAAATTTAATCAGCCCTGAAACCTTAATGATAAATCGTATATCTGAGATCTAACTCGGTGCGTACCCACTTAAGCATCCCGATTGCGTCCAAACACCTACACTGGTTCACAAAATGACGTATCGGCATATAAATAAAACAGATATAATACATATAAAATGTCATATAATTATTATGCCATTTAATTTTTTACACAGCATTGCAACGAATGCATATCAAATAAAAATGCCCACTAACAATATTAGTACAGTCAACGAAGTATAAATATAAGATTAAATGTTTTAATGGTATACCTACATGACCGACATACTATTGCACATATTTAAATAATTAGTAAAACGCATTACAAGTAAGTACCTACTCGTACGTACACGTACAATTTACTAAATATTCCGTCCGGAGTTACCCGGGACACTATTTTTGTTGGAACAAACGTTTTGCCGAAAAAAATACAGCTTTATCACTGCCGACGTTGTCCGCGACTCGGCCAGTGTGCAGTTTACACGTCTGCGCAGTTTCGAATGTGTGTACACCCGTATTTTGGTCCGAATTGGTGCCTACCGGGGAATCAACGGTTTGAATTCGATTTGAATGGATGGCTGACGGAATGATTCCTGGAAATATAATTAATTTTAATAATAGTAAAAAAAAAAAAAAAAACCTTATGTACAGATTTACGAATTTTATATCGGGCTGGAAGTTATAATTATTTATAATTGCGTTGTTGAATTAATCCTTACAAACCATTTGGATAGCTTTCAAATTCTTCATTCGGTAATAAAAATACACACAGCGACTGGATAATAATGACCATTATAAAAACGCACGAGTTGTATATAATTGACAAAAATGTTTAGTGCTCCATCGGAACGTTCCATCGACGTAAATTTGAGACAAAATTATTTTTACGAGAAAATGGAACAAAATCCCTAGTTAGTTAAAATGCGCTACATTGTAAGTTTATCAAAATACCTATGGCACAATCGAGTTATTTATTTTGTTTTGCACTGAAAACTGTGATTCCTATATACTTTGTACGGGCCGCAATCGGGTAACACCCGATAAAATAACCGAAATATATATTTAGTGTGTAAAACAATTAGGTATTCTGCGATAAATAATAATTCGGCCAGAGGCCTGAGTTATGAGTAGGTAGATTATGCCAAATACAGATTTGCAACCGATATTATAATGTTTATTTGAAACGTCAATCGCGATCGCGCGATAGCCGATAGGTAGGTTCGTATTGTAATAGAAGTGGACGAATAAAATAATACACACGCGTGTTGTTGGTTGTAATCGTATAATACAATGTACATTTGAACTCGAAGCGCTTATAAAAATAAAAACCAAAACAAAAAAAAAAAAAAACCCTCAAAATTTGTTTTTGTTTTTTCACCACTAAGTACGACTTATGATGCACTTTTCTGCTCGGTCAAAACAATTTTACCCACATAAGACCAAATAAAAACTAAAAAACGCGAAAATCTCACGTCAAATGGCTGAAAAATCGCGAGAATGTTTTGAAAATTTTTACCACCTCTAGATAAGTATTCTGCGAAAATTCTAGGATTCTACAATTATTTTTAACCGATTTACAAAATAAAACCAATAAACATAATAAAATTGTCGTACATATTTCCTACGTTTTTTCCCAATTATCAAGAACATTATAAGGAAAACTAAAAACGACTTCTCGTATGCACGCCATGTAACAGCCATAAAATAAGAAATGAAAAAAAAAAAGCACACACATCATGGTAAAATTAATACAGTCCTCGTTGCGCCGCGCTCAGAATCAAAAATATGTAAACCTCACGTCAGAAATTCTGTACAGAAAACATACCGTGATTGCCATATTATCGTTTTTCTGTATTTTTAAGTCACCTATCGGCTAGTTATTTCCACAAACATACCGGTGAGCAGGGGGAACAGCCAACCAGTAAATTATTATTACAGTTGTCAGTGTTACTACCCATATTATATCATTTTTGTAAGCTATTATTTCTAAGGCGGGAACAATTTTTACGGCGTAATAATATTATAGCCCCCACTCTTTTAATGCAGTGTTTTTTTTTTTTTACTGCCGTTTCGTATACAATATTTTCTGATTAGTTTTGAAAAAAATACACGTGCATATATATATTTATATATGTATAAATAATATATATTTTTGAATAATTCGAAAAACTGACATTAACAGATAATACCTACGAAATATATTATAATATTATTGTATTACCTGTGTCATGAACATTATAATTTTTTATGAAAATATTTTATTACGTGCAACGTTTGCATGAACGACAGTGTTGTAAAATAATCATATGTATAAAAAAAAAAAAAAAAAAACACTAGGTATGGTTGTGCTACTGTTTTAGGTAGGAACTGTTTTAACGATAACGCTATATGGAGGAGAAGAATATTGATATTGATATTTTATATATATTCTAAATGGAGCGAGAAAGCTATTAGTTTCTGAACGATGTGTTTATTTTTTTTTTCCGGTTAACACTCTTTGGGATGGTAAACATGCTTGAGGAACTTGAACGCGGTGCAGGTAGTAACTTTATAAACGGGTAATAATAATATATTAAATATAAATGAAATTTTAAAAAATAAAAAAAAAACACACTAGGTATGGTTGTGCTACTGTTTTAGGTAGGAACTGTTTTAACGATAACGCAAAATGATTAAAGTGTTACAACGGTTGTTTAATTTGTAAAATCTACTGAAACCTTTGAAATCCTATTAATTTCGGTTGAGCTAGTAGTTATTGAAAAGTTAACGAAACATTAAAACATTTTCGGTTATGGTTATTACAATTGAATTAGTTTATTTTCTTCGGAAATTTTGTGATTTCAACTTCAGAGTACAACGTTGTTAAGTCACACTCTATAGCTATCGCCTTATCGGTATTAGTTCTACACGTTATAACTAACGTACGCTAGGAGAAACAAAATAAATAGCACGCCGAATACCTATATACGAATATACGTAAATTATTCATGTATTCGCTATGCTCTAGGGATCCGTCCACCTAAAGGTATATGTTTATAGGGTACTTTCTCAAAATAAATCGAAAATGTTCACCGAAAACATGTTTTACTGTCAAATTAATCGATTCCGACGGCTAATAACCAGTCGATGTATAGAATATATTATTATATAATCGAATCTATATTATGTAATATACGGTGACCCGTCGTATTTTTCCTGGTTTTTCGCCCGTATATTTATAGTTGGCCGAGGGGAAATTTGGAAAACACGGCGACTCTTCGACCCGTATTATATTATGGCTCGTTCGAAAAAGGTTTGCGATTAAATTTGTTCGGGTGAAAGTATAAAAAGTCGTAAATACTACGGGTTTCGATCAATTTTGGGTACAATACATATGTATTCGTAGATATACAGGTACCCTTTATCGATTTCCTTGATAATATGACCGCGAGTTGCTTTCGTTTGTCGATCGATATTTTTGTATAATTATAGGCAAATGCATTAATTCAACGCAACATGATGAGACAATATTTTACTGTTACATACCTTATAATATTTATAATACTATGAGATAGTAATGGGAAGGTAGAAAGGGAAGATAATTTGAAGAGGATGACCGTCGGTGAAATATAACCCGTAAACACTTAAAGACACGGGAATGCAAAGTTATCGAAAGTTGAAGGATTTGAGTTTTGAAAGAGGAGCACGGGGGGCTATAACTAATCAAACACACTATTTATGATCAGGATAGGAAGAAAAAGTATAACTGGGGTTATTTAATTCCGCAGTTTAATCAATAATATTCCATGTACACTATAGAATTTATACTGTTTATATTATGGACTTCGTAACTCTGTAACGTTCAGAATTCGGTTACTAAAATGGTTAGGATGAATAGAATCCACATAGCAATTCGTTTTATAAAATTTGTTTGTCATTGATGACATTTTTTTGAAAAAAGTTCGTGAGAATTTAAAAAAAAAAAAAAAATGTCAAATAAATTTTAGTTTTCCCAATTTCGACTTTTACTGCAACAAATGGCCACAGGCATTAAGTATAGGTACCTACTATAAATGGCCACACACAAGTATTTTGGACTTTAGTTGTATTATGTTTATCCCGTAAACTTTTAATTTCAGTTGTGTTACCTAGTTTTCCGCCACCGTAACCGTACGTGCAGGTACCCTCGTGGGGTTAAAATTAAAAATTCGGTATTTGCGGCGTAAGTATAAACCCATGAGTAATATTATTAATACAATCGCCATAAACAAAACGTGTAGGCACTTGAAAAACCGTCGTATTAATTAACATAATATTAAACAAAATAAGTACCTAAGCATAGGCAAGTACCTACTTACTCGAAAATCGCGTGATAGCTAAACTGCATTTATATTGAAGTTTAAGTATTAGGTGCATGTATATATACAGCACTGCGTCATTACAGTATAATAAATTAATAATTTATGTAAACTATTTTAATAAATGGTTCATAGACCTATACAAAATTGGATTGATATTTACAATATATATAATATACCTAGCAGAAAGATTTTATAAGTCTTATAAACCTTGAAGGGTGAGCTTGAGCCCCACTATAATATCAAGTAAATATGATTTTCGGGGGTTTGCCTCTGTACTGGAAGGGTTTCAGATTATCACGGGGGACTAAGACCCTTATTCCTTATAATTTCACCACTGAAAAGAGGTATGATTTTCAAAATATTATTAGAAAAAGACAGGCAAGCATTGAGATACCATAAAAGAAAAATATTATGAAAATGAGAATGATTTCCTACTGGCTACTGTCAATTTATTGTAGTTATATCGCTGAATGTATAGGAAACAGTTTTTATAAAAATAATGAGGGAATTGCCACGACGGCATAAATCTTCCCACCAACGTCGAAAAAAAATGTTGCCAATATAAATCTGACACTACTCTAAAACATATCACATAACGCTCAGGACACAGACTTATTGGCTATTACCTACAACTAGACAAAATATTCAGTATGATCACGCTCGTGCCAATGAATCTCGGACTAGACGACAAAATAAACCGAGTGTTTTAATTGGCAGTTCTCGGATCGCAGAGTGCAAGAGTTATCATCCCTCATACTGGTCTTTTGTCATCTATATATTTTCTTAAATATTCTCTATCTATTTCTGAAAATATTATCTTAGATAGTGGACTATCGGTCCATTTCTGCATAAGGCCCTCTTCACAATAGGGCAACGCGACGCAATGCGACATTGACACGGTTTAAAAAAATAGTTGTCAACTAAAATATCGTATGACTTGAAGTCGTGATTTCTGCACACTATAGACCATGTTTTGGCAACACGAGTTGCTCCATAGTCAGTACATAGTCAGTACAACACCGGTCGTTCACAATTAGTTGCTTTCATGTCGCATCGCACCGCACCGGTGGAAGGTCACCGATATATTAACCCGTGTTTTATATAAAACAAACGATTATCGCGCGATATTTATTCAAAATCGTGTCGCCCTAGCGTGACGAGGGCCTTTGGCCCTATGCTTCGTTTCTTACACAAACATGTATGTAGAATATTATACGAGATACCTACCTAGTAATATTATCTTTATGAACGATTGAATTTATTATTTAACTCTGTTAATAGATGTTTTAATATAATATAAAAATTGCTCAAAACATTGCACACCACGGTACCCACGCATTGTAGAACAACGTCAATATAATATTTATAATATCGCCTGTACGATACGAAAATACCGTAATTTTAAGTTTTCCTAAGGCACGATTAAATATTTATGCGTTTTTCAAACGTATAGTTTTAGTTTTAACTTTTCTCTAACCGTCATACATTATTAGATAACGATAATAATATAATGCACAAATATTTATCAATACCTAACCCACTATGTACTAATATAGTACCATGCATTTGCGCCGAGCAGCAAATTACATAATTATGAAATATTCATATTCATCCCCCGAAATTGTAATTTTGTGTTGTGTTGCTTTTTTTAAATTCATTACGTGTTTCACTTGGTTTTATTTCATTAAAGCGTATTTTTTCCACTTTTGGTTTTATATGGACTAAACTGAGAAATTGGTTGTATCATGACAAAACAGACAAATTAGTTATAATACATAGATTTTTAAATATCAACATACCTCAGTCAGAACTGACAGAGTTTTACTGATATTTTTAAATCGATAATTCACTGTAGGGATACGGAGACCCAATATCGCTGTTATTGTAGATATTATCTGTATAGGTACGAGAAAGAACAATTCTAAAACCCAAACCTAATTATTATCGTTCTTTTACTTAATTGACATATTTCATAATTCTAGAAGAAAACGTTTTTCTGAATATTTTTTGAAATAACCTAGCCTAACTTAGCCTCCTAGCCTCCTAGCCTCCTACGTAATATTATTATCATAAAGATCATTTATTTTAGTTAAAAGTTATGCACATTAACGTTTTTAGTAAAATATTTTCGTTTAAAATCGATTATAAACACGGTGTTTTTGGAAAAAATATAAATTATAATTCTTATTTCAAAGTTTTTGCATAAGGCGAGTAAGTAAAATGAACATGAGTTGATAGAAATATATCTTTGGATTAGTTATGTCCCATTAAAATGTTGAACAGTTCTGACAACTAAAAGCGATTTTGAAACAACTTCATAGTTGAGCAATTACATATAAGTTTGATAGGTAGGTTATTCACACAAAATAATTATTAATTATAGAATCTACCTATTTCGATTTACATTTAATCACGATTTGAAATTGTACTCAAGTCATTTTGGACATTTCCCTTATAGAATATTATTCATTCGTTAGATTGATAATAATAATAATTATTATTACTGTAAGTATATTATTATGTAGTTTAAATTTAAATTATTCACATTTTATAAAATATAATAATACTTTTCGATCTACGTTACATAAGTTTCAAAAGTGTATGAACTTTATAAATACTTTAAACAAACTGTACAAACTTTTATTATTGTTTTTGAATCTTTGAAAATATATAAAACTTAAAAAAAAAAACATGTCTCGAATAATGTATCCGAATTAATTATTTATATAGTTCTATATTTATTACAGACTTGCACTTGCAAAATATGTACAGTTTTTAATTACCAACCCGTTATCGTGAATCGGCTATCTAGTACCTAGTTTCGTTTCTTAGTGACAAATAAATTTCGTGCTTAGAATACGTCAAAGTTAATTACACTTTTCAAGTATTATTTTTCAAGAATGTGTACAAACTGTATTTGGGTTTAATATTATGTATATTTACAACCTAACCTGCAAACCAATAATTTAATATATTGAAAATTATAATACGTTAAGTATATCATGTACCGTAGGTGTACCACGTACTGTGTAATATTTACGGCCAGCGATAATTAAATTCATAATTAGTAATGTAATTATTGTACCTAGTAATAATTCAAATTTTCTCTGAAGACTTTGGTTAAAATTAAACGGAACAAAAACTTGAGTAACCACACACTTTTTAAAATAATATTATAATGATACCTATAACTCTATAAGGCCGATGTTGTTTGTGTGTTGTGTTTTAGTATCGAAAGTGACAGACGTACATGACTGATCGGGTTTGGGTTCGCGTAAGAAATTTGGAGGTCTTACGTGTTTAGGTAACTTGAAGAAATTTGTTACCGAGAGACTCATGAGACGACAGTATGTGGTTTTAGATTCAGGGGGGGGGAGGATTTTCAGAGAAGGGCATTCCCAAAAGTTTGCTCTATTGTCGCCTACAGTACGACGACGCACATTTGACCGTACTATATATAGTTGTGGTCTTGGTGCATCGTTCAGTAGAACAGTTTTCGCCAAACTTTATACAGTGTGTGGACGACGGTAATATAATGGCCACGAAATCCCTCGTGTGTGACCATAAGGACGACTACACAGTCCTGACGAGGTCAACGATCAATTTCACCACGATTTACAGAGTGTGGACTAGCTGACCTTGGAGGTTTTGGATTCATCGACACTATGGTCGAGTTAAAACGAAATATGGGAGGTTTTTTTATTTATTTTTAACCCTTGTCGTTGAACGAATACCAATAATAATCAGATATTTGTTATAAAAAAATGAAATTTTATTTCTAAAACAGAGTTAGCTAGATAATATTATTTTGTAATTATACACATGAATGTTTTCACGATATATTATTATATTTTTGGAATGTATATAAGCTATATGTTTATTATACAAGGTGCTTTAATAATATGCAAATCGCAAGTTAATCGTGTCTTGGTATAGCTGGAGGATACAACCTTACACTGAATATTAATCAAGGAAGAATATTACCGAAATAAGATATGTATTATAATAAACTCTTTTGCAACACCGTTGTTTCATCATAACAAAGAATTTTCTGTGATTATAATTTTGATTGGGTACGACTGAGATATTCATTTTAATATCGAATAATCACAGTTAATACGTACAATATTTATTAAGTAGACGAACTTTTTATTTTGTTTTCAATATCTTATAGTATTATAAACGTCATCATTTTTACTATATTATAATTTTCAAAGTATTCTTCTTATTTTACCTATATACATTATATTTGAAAGCATTAAAGTGACTTTTGATTTTTTAAATCACCGGCCATATTTTTTTACTTAAAAATTAGTTTACCGAAAAAACAATGATGTATCGGTATCCGGTATAATGAGAACACGTGGTTTATTACTATAATAATTTAAAGTTTCGAAAAGCGGGAGTAGTGAGTGCCAGACAGAGGAGGATATATATTTTATTCCCCCGAGAATACAGGTACGTCACACCATCACACTGGCCGTCTAAACTAAAAATAATTATACCTAATAAACTACCTATTCGTTCAATACCGGTACTTACCTACATTAACTTTATTCGACAAGTAAATTGAGTATAAGTTAAAAAAAAAAGAAAAAAAACGTTAGTGATGGGCATTTGAAGAATATAACATACAAGTGTATGGGTTTTCAATACGTCGCGTCGGTGGAAATAGCTGAAAAATAATCAAAATAGAAAAGTTTTAAATAAGGATATCTACATTGAATAAATTAAATTAATTACATAAATTGGAGGAAAAATTGATATTTAGAATATTATATTATTTATAATTAGGGAACAGATTTTTATGCACTTAAAATCTGCAAAAAAACACTTAAATCGTCAAAAAGCACTAAAAAATATTTAGAAAAGCAAAAGTAGTAGAGGGGTTTAAAGCCTCCTCTAACGGCTATGACCCTATTAAATATAACTTAGAACTATTATACGGGGGAACTTTTTACCCCTTTACCATTATTGCTTTTTTTAAAATTTTTTAAAAATATTTTTTGACGTTTTTAAGCGCTTCTTTGTTGATTTTAAGTGCATATAAATCCGTTCTCTATTTATAATGCACTATTTAGTGTGTCGACGACTTCGTCAATTGAATCTTTTTTGCATTACATTATAATAATAGGTGATGAACGTAAAATATTAATTTTCATCATTGATCAAAGTATACTATTGGTTTTTTTTTCAAGTTAGTACATTGAAAATTAGAAACATTTCATGGAATAATACTTGTAAATAAAATTTACGCAAGTATCTAATGGAAAGATACTATACTACTTAAAAACGATATACATAGGCCGAAAAAATCATATTAGATCCCTTCATCTGTTTTTTGAAGCTTACCAATGAGTATTCATTATTTTCTGTCCACTTTCATTTAGCTCTTGTTCTAGTCTATTGTTATAACTTTATAGGTAGTATAAGCAATGTTAATCAAGTATGTAGTATAATTCACCGATATTAGGTGTATTATTTTCTGTAATTGGGCATTCGCCTATGACATTATTTAAAGAAATGAAATAAAATAACAGTGTATAGATTTCTGACGGTAATTTGATATAAATTGATTTAATTTTGTATTCCGAGTATATAGTGAAGAAATTAAATAAAATTTGATCATTGATGTATAGTAAAATGTATTTGTGTATTTTTGTCTTAGAAAAAAACGTTTTCGGTTAGTAATGAATCGAGCTACATTTAGAATTTTTGTTTGATTTTAACGATTTATTATTTCTTTCGGTGTGCAAACTAAAGTACACTATAATATATCTATTCTGTGACTTTTCACCTGCAACAATGTCTTACCCATGGTGCGAAGTATGTCCGGCTCTTTTTGATTGGATTATTAATTATTTTATATGCACTTCATAAATTATATAAATGGCCATTGCAATCACGTAAACTAATAATAATACATGCAACAATAATTAATCTATACGTGTGATACGTGGTCTAGGTGTTATTGGTCTAGTTATTTAGACATTAGACACGTTACGAAAGGAACTTCGAAATGTGTATCGTGGACTTGTTCTTGTCGAGTGAAAAATAGTGATATTATTATGATACTGTAACGATATTTAGCGAGACGACATAAAATAGAATTCGATTATTTATATTATGACGTTATAGAGAAACGACGAACGTGCTCGAGAATTAAACGAACGAGAGGACACGGGCGAGGATTTCGTACAAAATTGCAAAACATCGATTAATACATAAATTGTACAATATAATAATATACATTCAAAACATTTAAACAATATATACTTAGTTTCGTTCGGAGTACGCAGTCGTTATTATTAACTCGAACGAGAGAAACATCTAGTGACATTTAAATTCCTTTTGTGAACATCTGAAATGATAAAATGCGTCCACAAATCATCGTCGTACGCTATCAGGAAGGTACCCACTTTATGTATATAGGGCTACCTACCGTCTTAAAATATTTCCTAATTAATTCATATTTATTATAGTATTTGTATAGATCAAAATATTCGCGATAAATACCTATCTACCTATATACACAAACAGTACAATATTATTGTTTAAAATGCCTTGGTTTTTTATTTTTTTTATCTTTTTTCTTCCACAATAACGCCGAACACCGTATATTATTGTGTTTTATTTAAATCATATTATTATAGTACACTATTACACAATGTATTAATGTTATACTATTGTTTTTAATATCCAAAGATATAAAGATCGGCATATATTTTCTACTAGTATTGCAAATATTTACGCCGGATATTGTTGTTCGTCATTCCGGACGGTCATATATTTGCGACGCATATTATATTTTATGCATCCCCAGGTATATTACAATTAATTGCAATGTTGAAAATGTATTAATCATTTTGCAGAGATTGTATTGCAATAATATTATAATGTCCATACGCCGCGTTTCGTTATTATAATATGGTGTAATTTATTTTTGTTCATACGTATATATTTACATATTTTGGCTTTTTTTTTCTGTTTTAAACACATATTTGACGATAGTAATTTAATAATAATATTCATATGTTTCTATATTTTTTTCTTGATATTTTATGCTTCGTTATTTTAATTTGTCATGCACGCATTACTCCCATTTTCCATACATATTTAATTCATCTATGTCATTGTACATAAGTGCATATAAATTTATTCATTTTTTAGTGCCTAACCCAACCCTAATAATTAATATATAAGGATTTTCAATGCGAAACAAGTGTTTGTTTGTTTTTTTTCTAAACATTTAAAAAAAAAAAAAACTTAGTTTGTATTATTATAAACACTGAGTGGAGAGAAAGACTTTTTTTTTAGTTTTTATTTGTTCTCGACAAGTGAACATGCTAAATAGTTTTCACCGATCGACTGCATAAACACCAATAATTGTTAAATACATACATCATTTATAAAATTTGAAAAAGTTGAATTCCTCAATTTCTCAGTTAAAATCATAGATGAATCGAAAAACTGAAGTAGGGGTACATTTATGTACCTATATAATATAATATTAATCAACTCCGTTGGAAATTGGCTTTTGAAACCAATAATTTTCGCTATTTATATAGCCTCCTTACGTTATTGCTGTGGTTATAGATCGCAGACATATTAATTTTTTATATTTTAGAACGCCGAAAATAATTTAAAAAACTATCCATGTCACTATTTAAAGATGTTTAACTCGCTGTTTTTTTTTTTTTAAATAGTAAGATTAAATATGAATTAACTGTCTTAAAGTTTTCATTGGCAAGAAAGTACACTTTTTAAAAATAAATGACCGGGAAACAGCGGTGTGGAAACTGCGAGTCGCGGGGAAACGCGAGAGGACACGTTATCATTTTTTTTTTTTCAAATTTGTTTTCATTAAATACTATGTACGAGCAGAACCGTGCGGGATACGTTATATTATATTTATATTTGTACGGGAACTAGTAAGTTTTTGGCACCTTAATGGCTCGTAATTTATTTATTATTCCGCTAGAATATAATACTTAGGAAAAATAATAACATATACGTATATTCCATAAACCTATAAATAAACAAATTGTACAAGTCCACACACCAACAGTTATTATCGTTGTAAACTTATTGCAGATGCACAATAAAGCACACATTTATAGCTTATATATATATATATAATACACTTGGATAAATCCGACTAATAACTAGTGCGTCGTTAGTAAAAAAAATAAGTAGTAATAGTGAAATGTGTTATTTTTGGTATATAGGTAATACCGTCATAGGAATATAATCAGTATCAAAATTATCATAATATAACCGTCATATAATTATTATAACGAAAAAAATACCTCGAAAAATGGTTTACCGCAAACATACCTACTTATTAACACCAGTGTTGAGCATTATCTAGATAAATAATTAATTATCTTTTATCTTATCTAGATAATAATCAAAATTATTTATCTGATGAATTACTTTAGATGAATACTTAACATTAAAACCCATGTCTCATTAGTAAACCAACCTTGTAAAAATAGAGAAAAAAATTAAAAATATAAAGTAATAGGTAATAATATTATTCAGGTCGCTTATTTGTGTTATTTCTAAACTCTAATAGAAATTGTAGATTGTAAAATCTAGTATAAATTGACAAACAAATTGTCGATTAATTAATAAAACTAAAAAATTGTTATCTTTTTTTTATCTAGATAAATAGTGTTTTATCTTTTATCATTATCTAGATAATTCAGATTTTAACTATCTTTTATCTCTATCAAGATAAATTGTATCTAATTATCTTTTATCTTTATCTTAATACAATTTTAGTTATCTTTGTGCAACACTAAATTTAACACTGATCACTGTGATCATCTTTGAACTTAACTGAGCCGTAATAATCAAAGTCAAAATGTCTTTTTCATCTAGACGCCTAGAGAATAGATGAGGGTGTATATCTAAAAAAAAAAAAATCTTTAATTTTATACAGATTGTGATGTATATTGAGTCTCTAGTGTAGTGAAGTGCCACAGTAAATTAAAATGTAATTATAATAATAGATCGTAGTAAGTATATACTGCTTTTAGCGTTTAAGTAGATTAAATCGTTTTTAATCATATTTCGCCTATTTATGTATAGTGAATATGTTAATTATAACTCGGCAAACTCGAAGTGAGCAAATAGATGTGTTTAGCAATAGTTGTACTTAGTACTCGTACATAACTGTGTTTACGTATACGCCTTCCTTATGCTTACGTTAAGTTTAATACAAGTGTTAGAGAAATTTGACTATATTATATTTTGTGTATGCATGTTTAATATGCTGTTATATTCGGATTCGCGCACTGCATTTTCGACTATATATTGTATTTGTCATCGTAGTTATGATTAGACGGCAAACTTGTGTAAGTTTGTCGCGGGTGCTTCGAACTCCACTTTGAATAGAATTCTTTTTACTCGTCATCACGGTGTCCGGTTAACATACCAGTAACCGGATCTAGAGTTAACGATATTACACGTTCAAAATACTTGGTCATCAACTTTAATCATCAACTTCAAACTAGATTGAACTCACTATCGGAGTTTGTGTGATAAAATAACAATAATGATCCGAAATTATTCAAAAATACGTTATGTGGATATACTCTATAGGGACGTGAAAAACTTTTCTTATTTTTTATAGAATGTGGAAAAAACTAAAATTTATCTAGATTTGAACCCTTGCGTGTCCTTCGTTCGTATATTACAATGTGCTCAATTTTTCCTCAAAAACCAGACATAATGGTAGATGTATGGTTGTGCAAATCATAGTATATAAAATATTAAGTTAGAAAAATGTTTTTGGGTAAAAATAGGAAAATTAAAACTTGATTGTTCGACAAAAAATTTTTATAAACGTTTTCGAATACAAAAGATGCGAAAACACTCCAAGAGTTCGAATAAAAATACATACATCAAAAAATTGTAATCAAATCAACATTAACTTTACTCGTTTTATACGATAGCGTTTAAATAAAGATGTACCCACGGAATGTTTTATTAACTATAGAGAAGTGTGACGAAATATCACATACAACACTTAAAAGATTGAACTAGAGTAAAATTTAAAACTTTAAAATAAATTTTGGTAATAACAATTTAATTATTAACTTTTTAGAAACTCGAAAATACGTGAGATTTTATTATTCACGACTATATTATGATTATATGTATATTATTAATATCATAATATTTTTCGTGAAAAGCGAATAGCCTTTCGAAGCCCATACTAAAATTAACGTGTTGGTAAAACAAATGTGTACTTAAGTATAGTTAAGGGGAATGGAGGGACTAACTAAGAATCCACTTAAATATATATACCAATCTTTTACTATTATTTCACTGTTAATTATTTTTATAATAACTAATATTGATATTCATTAGAGCAACGCCAATTTCTTCGATATTTTATTTAATATTTTTATAGTTATTTTCACTAAGTGACTTTCAATTGTGTAGAGAAGTGAAAAAAAATGTAAAAATTGTTAATTATTTAAATTTTATAATTCTCAAATAGTTAAGAATATGTTTTTCTATTTTGAAAATTTGAATTTTGCAAACATATGTTAAGGGGTTTTGTCCACCTTTTTAAAAATATGTCCCTCTATGTGGTGGCAATATTGGTTTGTGTGCAAATCGTCCAAATCTGCAGGTGTTGTCGTTTCGTTTTTCAAATCAAATAACTTTACGAGTGTAGCTTTTGAAAAGTTCAATTGTGGCTAAAGGAACACTCGTAAACCACAATAATATTATGAGTTATAATATTTCATAACGTATTACTAATTGGTTTCACTAATCGTTTTACAACATTTGGTGCCAAGTTATTGGAGTAGCTATTTTGAAGTCTAAATGGACCACGTTGCTTAAATCTCGACATTTATTTTTATTTCAATACCGCATTACAAATGGATTCAATTACGAAAGAACTTTTAATTCGATATTTTGAATTATTATTATTATACTCGTATATTCCAAAACTGCGACGTTCTTAACAATATTTTTGTCGATACCTTATATTAAAATATGTTTAGAAATCGAAGAGCTTTTGTTTTTTTATGATATTTTCCAAAGCATAACACGCGTTAGGTTGTATTAGTATAATCATAGGAAAACAAGTCTCATCAAAAAATCGTAAATTTTGTTAAAATTTAACAAATAAATTATTATAAAAACTTTTATTTATTTATTGGAGTTTTAACATAAATTAAAAAATTTCGACAATTATAAACATACAAAGCCTATAGTTATTAAATAATTAAGCCAGTTTAACGAACAAAAATCATAAACTAATTATGATTAAATTATTGGAAAACGTTTATTAATTATTGGGGGGCGTTTACATAGGAGAATTTGGTATATAAAGTAGAAAAAAGAGTTTTTTAAATTTAGCGTATTAAAAACAAGAGCAAAATAGTACATAAATAAATAATGGAAGCCATACAAATTCTAACCATAGTTGGTGAGGGTACAGGTGGAATTGTTAACAATATCTAAATAGTACATATGTTTTGAAAACAGATTGTGGCCCATGCGGCCTTGTAAATATTATAATTAAAGAGCAACTCATGGGATTAGAAGCGGTCTAGAATCACGGACACATGAGGATGTTAAAGGACACTAGTTTTTAAACTGAAACGTAGGTTAACAGCAAACTTTTCCATGCCTGCTTCCATAATTTCTTGATTGAACTACAAACGATAGAAGATAGGAATTAGGTTGAGATGGTTAGGACATCAGCTCTCTCAGTATTCAAGATTCTAATATGGCCAGGAGCCCAAAATGATAAAATATGAACGGGACGGGCAAAGAACGACACATGTTTGAAAAAGCTTTTTAAAGTAATCGGAGGGCTTTGAAAATTAAACGCATGAACGGATAAGTGTTATAAGACTAGCTCGAAAAACAGATATTTCGAGATAATTTTTCATTTTTGTTTTTTTTAGTTTGAATTGGGGAATTTACCTTGAAGAAAATACCCAGTCCTCCCAAAAAAAATCTAAATACGCCCCTGCCCCCATGATATTTTTTTCTTCAATATTTGTAATAAATATACTACTATTATATTATCTATATTTATATAAAAAAAAAAAAAAAAATAATAATAATTATTGATGAAATCAAATTCGTCAATGACAAAATTGTTTGGCCACTTCTGTATGTGACACATTATTCAGCAAAACATATCTGTATTAAACATATAGAACTGTACAAATACTATTGAATACTTTTAGATTCTAAGCGTAGCGAGGGAGCTATTGGTTTTACTAAGATGTTTATTTCTTTTTTTTCTAGCCTGTGGATACGTTTTTTTCCTAGTAAACGTGCTCTGATTTTTACGTGTAGCAATTTTTCTGAAAGCTCAAGTTGTCTAATTGGTACTTTAAAAAGGTTATTTTTTGATTTTCGACGCCATTTTTTTAAATAAAAGCACTTAAGTGGGAAAAACATAGGAAAACCTACAATTACGTACAATTTCATTATATTATAAAAACACGAACAACATTTTCTACTAGAAAAGATAATTTAATCGAAAAATCTCAACACTTTTTTTTATTGCTTTTTTGATTTATTTTTCCTACGGTATCATCACTGAAACTTTTGAGTTTTAAGGAATTTTAATTTTATTAAATACACATAGAGACTTTAAACCTGGTAATAATACTTATATTAGACTTACCTAGACGTGATGAAATTTCGAAAATCATCGGACAACTTTTCCTATTTTTTAAAATTTTTTACAATGGTATTTAATTTTTTTTTTATATATACTGTAGATCACTTTTATCCTAGAAAACTTGTTTCGATGTATAAGTGTAGCACCTTTTATGAAAGTAAATTTTATCTACTTGGTAAGGACATAGGTCTTTTTTTAATTTTCAAAACGGTATTTAAAATAAAAACGATTAATTGGGAAAAAAATAAGATTTTTTCACAATTTCGTTATTTATGGCGCCAATTGAAAAACGAAAAAAGATTTTTTTTGTTGAATTATTATTCTTGTTTATAATGGTACAAGTCGTTTTTTAATTTTAAAATTAGTTTTCATTATAATCGGTAAAAAACGTAGGAAGGTTAGGTTAAACAAAATTACGGCACTTCAAATTACGTATTACCGAACTGCGCTCGGAATCATCTTTCGTCAGAAATGGTTAATTGTTGCTTACAGATATGAATGAAATAACCTTATGTACCCCACCTTCTCAATTTTTCACCTACAACAGTGACCGCACCCGTTCCCAGTATCAGATCTTTTTTTTTAATGTAGTGAAAAATGATAATATTATTAAACACATCAAAAACACAATAACTGATAGAAAAAACGAGTTCAATGTGTTATACACAACTATTTTGTGTATTATGTTTGAGTATATTTTAATCACTCATATATTTTTCTAATTCATCGCAAAACCTTTACACGTTTTTTTTAATGTATAAAACAATAATAATCCGAGAGAAATGCGTATAGTCAACTGGCAAGTTGGATGTAGGTTGTTTCACAAGACGGTTTAAACATAAATGCTGTAAGTACAGTTTTTTTCTAAAAAAAAATACATGTATACCTGTATATAAATTATACAAATTATGGATATTTAAATTCATTAAAAAAAAAAAAAAAAAACCGAATTACATTGTATTTTTGTGTGGAGTTTTTGTAAAATATACTGAACATTTCCTCAAACAAAAATAAAAACAAAGTATCCCTCGAAGGCTCTATTTTTTTGCCCGTTTAATAGTATCTCAACTGTTATACTATCACGCTCAATACGAATAGGCATGCGATAAATATTATACAGGTCATTTATATTTCAAAATAAGTGAACTACGTCAAACTTAATTGATCGTTAATAATTTAGATTTAAGAGTTCAAAACGACGTGACGTTGAAAGGGGTGTTGTAATGCGTATATCATAACTGAAACAAAAATCATAAATGTATAATTTGTTGGTCATTAGTTTATATATATAATAAATAAATTCAATTTTGAACTTTTTTGAACTTGTCATAACAAATAAATCCTAATGATAGAATCATTGAAAGTCGTGGATAATAATGATATTTCGCGAATTTCTTCTTTTAATCGTCTCAGAAAGACAACCACTTTATGCACTATAGAATTAGGTACGAAGAATATTATTGAAATCGACAGCTATAAGTGTTCTTTTATTTTGGGTTTTCTTTAGATTCCATTGAGCGATTTGTCATTTTTGATGGCTGGATTAAGATAGCATTGTATTTATTTTATAAACGATACATGTAAATATATTTTCATTTTTTTC